GGCACTCCACTAAGTGCCTGACATCCATTAGCTCGTTCTATCTGCCTGACAACTCCGCATGGGTATTTAGACACATCCTTGTTTACATACAGGGAAAGTGAGGTTTAGAAAGACAACATCATTGTACCAAGGTCACAAACATTAGTCAACAGTGGAGGCAGGATTCAAATACAAAATCCAAACCCAAGCAACCTAGTTCTGGGGAGAAGCCCAATAACGAGTGCTGACTTGGTCTCTTAGGCAGAGTGGGTGGAGATCTGGGGAGCAAAAGAGGAATTTGTGGATGGCTCAGCAGTCCCAGGAGGCTGGCACCACGGAAAGACCAAGGAAGATGTCAAGTACAGCACAAACAGGTCTATACCAAGAGAAGAAGGCCTGAGTCAAAAAAAAAAAAAGGAAAAAAGTGGGGGGATTCAGAGCAAACACTGAGTAAGAGGGCACAGTGATATAAGCAGGACAATCCAATGAGCCAGCAACACAAAGGTAGGTTGTATTACTGTCCCTGTATTTCATGGGGTCATAAAAATCCCTACACTGCAGTCCGCAAAAATTAGACATCTGGCAAAGTTGTCTAACCCTCCTCTTAATAAACAGCAAAAAATGTGTAGGATAGCATGAGTAGCAAATCAGATTTTGAAGATGAGGAAACAGAGTGATAGCACAGTGGGTAAAGGACTTGCCTTGGACGTGGCTAACCTGGGTTCAATCCCCAGCACACTTACAGTCCCCTGAGCCCGCCAGGAATGACCCCTGAGTACAGAGCCAGGAGTAAGTCCTGAACACAGCTGGCATGGCTCAAAAATTTGAAAAAAATTTAAAAAAGATTTTGAGAATCAAGACACTGGAACTTCCTCTAACTTAATGAGGTTTTAAAACAAGCAGCATTGCTATATCCCCTAGGAGAAAACATAGAACCATCAACATTGATTGTGTTGATATTATAAGTACCAGATATGACATGGAGAACTTCGTACATGATCTCAATGCATCCTCAAAACACTAAGAGCTGGTTTATTGATGTTTATAGATGAGAAAACGGAAGCTCAGAGAGGCTTGAAGACTCATTAAACCACGTATTACAGGGATAGAAATGCGATTCTTTCCAAGGTCTGTCCAATGTGAACAGTGACCATCCCTGAGCCAGCAGAAATTGGTATGGTGTGCATATAACCATCAGCCCACACAGCCTCCCTTCCTCTACAAGGATCAGGAATGAAAGGAGCACAGATGAGTGGGCACAGATTCTATTGCAGCATTGTGCTCTGGACTTTCCCATCACAGAAGTGCTGCAGTCTTATTTTCATGAGCCTGGCCAGCAGGAAAGAAAGCTATTTAGTGCTCATGCCACGGATCAGAGAAACATGGGCTTCTCCAGACTCCAAGTGAGTCTTCAACTCAGAAACTTAGGGGATGGACCCAGCTGGTTGTCTCAACTTCAGGATAAAAGGCCCTACAAGGGATTTTTGTAAAAAACTCGGTATTTGGAAGATAATCACTTCATCTCTTTCTGAACGTTCCTTACTCTACTCTATATCTCCCAAGGGCTCAGTCATTCTAGAAAGCCTAGTGGAAACTGGCCATATTTATGGCTATCTGGCATCCTTTCGACATACTTCCTGCAATTTAGGAATTTCTCATACGTGGAATCCTGCCTCTCTGAGACAGAAGCTGGAATCTCCTCTGCCAGCCTCGGGCTGCTGTGCTTAGAGAGACCTGCCTCAGACTTACTCAAGAGCTAGTGATACCACAGATGAAATGGCCATGTGGCAGCAAGGAATAACCTTAACAGAAAATATTCAGTCCTTCTCAATAACTTCTCTTCTCCATCTCCCAACTGCATCTTGCATATTGATACAGGAAAATCCCTAGTGATTACAAATGCTCGTGTGCAGTATGAGCAGAGGGAAAAATGGCAAGGGAACAACTAATGGGAGCTAGATCAGCTGCAAAAAGTACAAAGGAATAACAGGAAACAGAAACACAATACCAGACAAAATAAGCCCTAAAAACAATGATTATATTGTGATTTCCAACCAGCTGGCTTAGAAATCTCAGAGCACTGAACTTCCTATTTTCTGGTTTTCCAGTTTTCCATGTACAATGCCCTCCTCAATAGGGAAACACGGCAATTGCTTCCCAATGTCCTTGGGCTACACAGAAGAGCAAATCTTTGTTCAAGACTCTAGAATGAAAGATACTCTTGAGACCTACCCTCCTCAGCACGAGGACGGTCTTTTAAGACCCTCCTTGAAAGTCAGCCTCATTTCTGTTTATGAGGAAGGATTCAAGATTAGGTCTGGGGTACTTAAGAGACAGACGTCTCTTAGGACCAAATGCACTCTCAGAATACCAAATGCAACTTACTTAAAGACATTCTATCAGTATCAATGATGTCCAGCAAGGAATAACAAATAAACATGCTCAAGCAACCAAAAGTCACTTAGAGCTTCGAGCACTGATTTTACATTGAATGAAAAGTTAGGGGCTCTGCAAGATGACATCAGTCAAGCAAAGACTGTAGAAAGCAAATATCCAAATGCCTTTGCTCCAGTGGAGGCAAGAGACTAAAAAGAAAAAAGTAAAAGAGACAGAACAAGAAATCAGACAGGAATTAAAGGAAGAAGAAATAAAAGCATGGAAGAGAGAGAGAGAGATACAAAGAAGGATAAGGGTGGAGATGGGGAGTTAACTGGACAAACCAAAAGAAAACTCTGAATCAGAAAATTTAACGAATTGGAAAAAATTCTCCTGAAGGTCCAAATTTCTCAGTTGGTAACATAAAATATCAATAAAATATCTTTCCTGGAGCCGAACAGAGAATACAGCTAGCAAGGCAAGTGCCTGCACCTGACCAGCCCAGGTTCAACCCCTGGCAGTACTTATAGTCCTTCAAGCACCCCACCCCAAGGGTGATCCCTGAACACAAAGCCAGGTGTAAGCCTTGAACACAGCCAGGTGTGGACCCAAAGCAAACAAACAAAGGATTTCTTGCCTGAAAATATGAAAATACAATGTTTGATTACTTAAGCTCCTCAAATAAACCGCAAACCTTAGAAATACCCGCAGTTACCTCCTGCTGGTTTCCAAATAATTAACATGTATTCCTAAAACTTAGGAAAATACCCTATGCCTGCAACATACAGTCTCTGCTTTGACTGACAAACCCAAAGAACTCAAATAGACACCAGCATTTAAAATAACCTAAGAGGGGTCAGAGCAATAGAACAGTGAGGAAAGCACTTGCCTTGCTCACTGGTTCAATCCTCGGCATCCCATATGGTCCCCTGAGCACTGCAGGGTATGGCTTCAAACCCCCTCCCCCAAATAGATAAAACCAAGTAATCTAAGAGACATGAGTTTTGTGTCATGGCACACAAGGCTAATCTTTTTATATTCATCACCTGAAGTCTCAAAAAGTGTATTAGGAAAATTTAAAAAAACCTAGTCATTTCAGATACCTGGATGAGTAAGAGACTTTTATAAGCCATCCATATTCATAATCATTCTGATTATCAGAGACTTCAAATCTGGGGAATCGTCTCTCCAACAAGTCATTGAGCCTGCTTGTGACTCCTGAAGTGCACTTGTGACTGCAACTGCATGACCTGACTTTCCATTCCCCTGACTGTTAAGGACAAGCAAGAACCTAAGTCCTAAAACTCACAGAAGTTTAAGTTAAGTTAAATTAACTTGAAAACCGAAGGCTTTTACTAGTTTCCACATGAGAAAATTTGTCCTGGGGCTGAAGCCATAGTACAGCAGGTAAGATATTTGCCTTGCGGAACTGGGTTTGATCCCTGGCACCCCATAAGGTCCCCTGAGCCCTGCCAGAAATGACACCTAAGAGCAGAGACAGGAGTGAGCCCTGAACATAGCTGCATGTGGCCCAGAAAAAAACAAAAAAAAAAAGAGGAAATTTGTCTCAGGAGGCTAACAAAAAAAAAAAGGGGGGGGGGGGGAGAGGGGAGGGAGGGCAGACGGTGCAGGGGTAAAGAGAACCAAAATTGAGAGGTGGTAGGGTGAAGGGTGAAAAATTATTTATTCCAATGAGTTTGAATGTTTGGATCTAATCAGGGAGGAAAATCTACCACATAGATTTTTCCAACAATATAAAGTCTTATTCTCTCCAAGGTAGATTGAGTCGCATATTCTTCATTTGCTCTGTAAACTTTTTCACTGACCATGTTTTCTGTATGCTGTTTTTGTATTTGGGGGGAGGATGGTCTTTCCTCCAGGAGCCTGCGGGTCCCCCTGGCAATTCTCAGCCACTTGGGTGGGTGGTTCAATGCTAGGGTCCAAAGATGTGGTCATGCTCAGTCCCGGCTGGCGCCAAGACTCCCAGGGCTCCCCCAGCAGTGCTCAGATATATGGTGCTTTTCCATTTTTCACACATAGGACAATCATATGCAAATCCAAACACCTGAGTAACTTTGCTCTATAATCAACGTGAACATAAGTTCTTTTCATCCAAATTGTATTTGATGATCAAAGCCCTTCAAAATGGTTACTAATCTTGGTAATGCATCAAACATTAAATCTCTTAGGTGCTCTGGAATACCAATTCGTTTATTGACCCCTAGGATCTCAAGGACAGACAGGGCAACTGCAAATACCTGCACATCTGTCATGCCCCACTCCCTGCAGACGACCAATGCCAAGCTCCCTGCGTACCACTTTCCCACTCTCCACACTTCTATGATCGAATACCCATTACTGAAAAGTTTCACTAACTCAAAACAAATGAAGAGTAATAGATGGAGTGCCAGGGAACTTCAAATCACAAATCATGTTCATTGGATAACTCTATAGTATGTTCATTTTTCCCCCCAAAAAATGACTAGGGGAATAATTATCATCTATTAATAAGTCTATAAATTGAATTTTTAAGTTGGTTGAGAACTGGTTATAATTCTCTAGGAGTTTCTCCAACAGCACAAATACTGCTATATCCCAAAGGAACTGCAGAGAAAATCAATCAAGCTTACACAAAAAGTACTCACTGTGAAAATAATGTCCTCGACCGAACAATGAACTTGAACACATATTCCAAAGCTTTCAGAGTTCTTAGGATTGGCTCACACTGCTCCCCTCTGCTGGAGGTATCCAAGTAAGTCTTCAGCACTGTCATCAGTTTCCTAAATGAGAAATTAGATTTTCAAAGTTTATTTTTTCTCGTCCAGAGCATGGTAATTAATTTGCTCTTTAAATTATAAGATACAATTGAAGGTTAAAGGTTGTGATATTACCAAGCTCAGTCATTCATTGGCAATCATAAAAATAACTCTGCCTAAAAAGTACATTTAATACAAGGAGTGAATAAGTAATTTCTGCACATAAAAAGTCAGCAAATAAAAATTAACAAGAAAAACAAAACTCTGACTAGGAAAATCAGTCACAATTCAGAACATGAGTGGGAATAATGACAGTGATAATGTCTTTTATGTCCTAAAAAAATGTTCTTGTAACATCATTGACCTCCCTTGCTTAGAACATTTTTATGTTTCTTATAACCAGCAAGGCAGATTTTGAACCACTTGTCTTGTTTTTAAAGGAGGTCAGATTAATAGTATAGATGGAAAGGCACTTGCCTTGCACACAGTCAATCCCAACACCCCCTAAGTTTACCTGAGAATGACCAGTAGTGATCCCTGAGCCCTCAGGAGTGATCACTGAGAATCAGGAATAAACCCTGAGCACCACCAAAGGTGGCCCAAAAACAAACAAATAAAGGCCCTTTGAAAACTTTGTTCCAGAAATCTTCCCAGCATCATTTCCCATTATCTTGATTTCTCAGATAATATATTTTATACCCAAGCTATAGTGAGCTCCTTAGGATGTGTGCTTTCTTCTCCCTAGTCTCAGAACTCCAGTGTCTATAAGTAGCTTCTAAAGAATTGACAGATCTAAAGAATAAGTGACAAAAAAAAAAAACTTCCAAGTGTTTCTTCTGCTGTTATAAAGTAGGTATTCATTCCAAGCAAACTGTTTCCATATTTGAATTTAATCCATATAATATTGTCACAATTTCTGCTTTGCTAGAAATGGAAGGGGCTGGAGCAATAGTACAGTGGGGAGGGAGTTTGCCTTGCACACAGCCAACCTGGGTTCAATCTCCGGCATCCCATATGGCCCTCCAAGCACTTCCAGGAGTAATTCCTGAGTGCAGAGCCAGGAGTAATCCCTGAGCATTTCTGGGTGTGACCCAAAAAGAAAAAAAAATGGGAAACTAACACAGGCTAGCACAAAAATGAAAAATAAATCATTTTATTTCATGACCTTGACATCCTAGTAGGATAAGTAGTATACAATAAGAAATTTCCACATAAACTCACTTACTTGTAAGCCAAGGTGGCACTAAAATGCTGTTGAATATAAGCCTCCAGAACGGTGTTAAAATGCTGGAATTTCCGGTCTGCAATGAGTCCTATTATGTAGATCTGAGGAAAGGCAAGAAATCAGTTTTTGAGGGACAAGCAGTTCCTATTCACATGACATAACTTAATCCCCTTAAAACACTTCTGCCCAGGAATTAGCTCATTAACATAGTGTTTTCATTTTGGTAGTGTCCCTCAAAAAAAGAAATCCCATGAGGTCAACTACAACTGTTATAAGAATAAGAGGCTTGTGGTAAAATAGAATTGACAAATCTCATATTAACATCATTAGACTGCATTCTTCATTGTAGAACTTATTGGAGTCTTAGATGCATTGTGAATCTCCAAAAGGATCATACAATGTTGAGCACTTCCTGAAACCATTTGGCCTAAGAACTGTTCTGTCATGAAGCCTCTTTCCTAGGGTTAACTTTCCAGGAGACCATTTTGGGAAGCAATGGTTTAGGGTATACTTGTCTCCATGAACCTCTTTTAAAAAGAAAATGTCACTAACGAGGGGTTAAGACTTAACTGATCATTGATATCCTAATGCAAATATTTCATTTGCTTTGACATGTAATTGATTTTAAAAAATGTGAGTTGTCATTTGTGGAATATAAAGAACAGAATGAGAGACTAACACCCAAGAGTAGTAGAGATAAGTACCAGGAGGATTACTCCACAGTTTAGAAGCTGGCCTCACATGGTGGGGGAAAAGGCAGCTCAGACAGAGAAGGGACCACCAAGTAAAGGATGCTAGGAGGGCCCACTCGGGATGGGAGATACGGACTGAAAGTAGACTATAGATCGAACATGATGGCCACATAATACCTCTATTGCAAATCACAACATCCAAAAGGAGAGAGAGAAAACAAAAGGGAATGCCCTGCCACAGAGGCAGAGTGGGGTGGAGGGGATGGGTGGGGGTGGTGGGAGGGATGCTGGGACCATTGGTGGTGGAAAATGGACACTGGTGGAAGGATGAGTACTCGATCATTGTATGACTAAAATGCAAGCATGAAAGTTTGTAAGTCTGTAACTGTAACTCACAGTGATTCACTAATAATTTTTTTTAAAAAATATAGTTCAGACACAGAGAGAAAAAATAACCCTTGGGAAGATAGAATGAGGGAATACTGGGAGAGTATACCAATTTAAATGTTCTGGGTAGGTTGAAGTAGTGTAATAGCTGTGATATATTGGAGGTAGTCAAAGGTAAAAGAAGAGTTAGAAAACATCTTATGTACTTTAAAATCTGGCTCACATGGAAAGCTGATTCAATCTCCAGTCTCATTCATGTATTTTCAACCAGTATTAATCTGATATCAACATTCAAAATAAATGAAAGAAAGCAGAAGTTCTTTCCTTGGCCGGTTTGCTGAATTCCACAGAATTCATAAGATAAACTATAAATTCTCACAGCAAGATATACATTAACATTTAATGTCATAGAACTCTTGTCTCTTTTCTTACCAAAGCATCGAAGACAAGGATGTCATACTCATTACTTTGAGAATGTTCCATCATGATGTTGAAGAGGGCGTCCAGAGTATCTTGGAGAAACTGGGCAAAATAATAAAGGTTATGTTAGGGAAGAATGAAGAGGACCCAAAATCAGCCCTGAGTGTATAGACACAAGAAGGAAAGCATCCACCACCACTGCTGGGGCCAAAGACTCAGGGCGCTGCACACAAGAGCCAGAACTCCATCAAATGTCCACCAAGAGCAGATACTAAGTACTAGAATGAATTCAATGAATCCCTCCTTGATATTTGGGTGAACAATGCATTGCATGTGTAATGGTGGTTCAAACAGTTTACACTGTACAGCCTACATGTATTATCTAAGTTTGTGTATTTATACTCAGTGACATTCACTTAATGGCAAAATCATATTCTCAGAATGTATTCCTGTGGTTAATGATACATGACTATACATGGACACACATGTCTATAAAATTCATTAAACTGTCCTCTTAAGGTAAGTGCTCCACACCTGCCATAGAGGCAGGCAGGGGATGGGGGTGGGGGGTGATGGCAGGGAACCTTGGGACACTGCTGCTGGGAAATGTACACTGCTGGAGGGATGGGTGTTGGAATACTGTATGACTGAAATCCAATCATAAACAGCTTTGAAAACATTTTTTAAAAATTTTAAATTTTAGGGGCTGGAGCAATAGCACAGCGGGTAGGGCATTTTCCTTGCATGTGGCCAACCCAGATTCGATTCCCAGCATCCCATATGGTCCCCTGAGCACCGCCAGGGGTAATTCCTGAGCGCAGAGCCAGGAGTAACCCCTGTGCATCGCCGGATGTGACCCAAAAAAGAAAAAAAATTTTAATTTAAAAAAAGATAAGTGCTCTAGGAAGAATGCTCCATGGCTTGGAAGCTGATCTCATGTGCTGGGGGAAAAGGTAGCTGGGATGGAGAAGGGAACACTAATTAAATGATGGTTGGAAGGATCGCTTGGGATGGTAGATGCATGCTGAAAGTATACTATGGACCAAACATAATGGCTGTTCAGTACCTGTATTGCAAACCATAACACCCAAAGGAGAGAGAGCAAGAGGGAATGTGCCTGCCATGAAGGTGGGGGGTGGGGGAAGGAGGGGGGGAAGGTTGGGGGATACTGGGAACACTGGGGTGGAGAATGGGCACTGGTAGAGGGATGGGTATTCGAACATTGATTGTTCTACTGAAACGCAATCATGAAAGTTTGTAAGTCTGTAACTGTATCTCACAGTTATTCATTAAAATAAAATTTAAAATAACAGATAAGCACTCCATATGTGTGTATACACACAAAAAATAAAACGGCCGGCGGTCTTGCCGTTTCCCCACTCCAGGGAGGTCGATGGCGATGGTCAGGTGAAGGAAGGAAACGAGGCCAAGCTAGTTGGTCTTAGTAGCCGTTTATTACATGGAAGAGATGTATGTCATGGAGGCCTCAGGAATCCTCGAGCACGTGCGCCTTTGTTCTCTCAGCTTCTGTCCTCAGCCCCATCTTCCCAGGTTCTCTGATGCACGTGTCCCCCCCGTTCTCTGGTGCACGTGTCCCCCAGAGAGCCCTGAAATCTCCCTTATATAGATCATAGTACCTCTAAAGGGCGCAATATAATGATGTCATCAAAAGGAGTTACAGAAAGAACATTGAGGCGGCAAACATACATTGTTTCCTTACATCCGCAGGCCAGTAATCCTGGCCTCACCTTTTCACAAACTACAAGCACTTAGATTAGCACAACAAAGACCAGTCTGCTAGAGCTTGGAATCTACATCTCCAAAAAAGCAGTCTCATCCAAGCTAGTCAGGACACACAGAAAACTGCTTCTAGGACGTGTTTCTCCTCTCCTTGTCCAAACAACATATAAGCATACATAATATTAATCATTTCGTATGGACACAGTAAGAAATACTTTGAGCTTATAGAATTGCTCTCCTAGGGCCATCTCGATCTCAGACTGCAATGCTCAGGCCAGATATCTTTCCTATTCCTAGCAGCAGGGCCCTAGTCTCGTCGTTACTTTTGGATCATGACAGCATTTGCCTATGATCAAACTCTTAACTTACAGTTAAGAATCGTGGCACCTTGGTCTGGCCCATCGCGATGCCAGGGTAGCACATAACTTACCGGCTTGCCCTGGTTCCATCCAGTCCCACGTCGGGACCCTGCCCTTGGAATGCTAGGAAGTGAGGGCAACTGAGGCTTAAGTTGAGAAGGCAGATGCCCAGGAGTGAATAATATTCAAAGCCAATCAATTCCTAAGTTATAAAGCATAATATTAATTAATTGTCTTCCTGTATCTATACAAAAGGACATTGCATTAAAGTAAACTGCTCAAAGACATAAGGAGAGGAGAAAGGCAATATTGACTTACAGTACAGCTTCAGTGTCTAAGAAGGATGAGACCTTACAAATTGGTTGGGGAAGAGAGCATAGAAGAGGTTTCAGACAGACAAAGTAATGGGAGTGACTCGGGAGCACTGTGATGGGTACAATCTGATAAACCTAAGCTCCGTGTACTCCAACACATATGTACTTTACTATACGCATATTATACTTCAATAACAAACTCTTCATAAAAATATTAAAAGAATACAAAGAGAAACTATTAAAAAAAACCCCTCTAGATGACTTTTCTAAGCCTCCCAAAGGTGACAGCTTATGAAAGGATGTCTGAGGAATGTCTCTGATACTTCTGAATCAAGCAGCAGTGGGTCAAAAGTGCACGTTTAAAGCCCCAATCTAAAAATATGGCCGGGGCTGGAGTGATAGCACAACGGGTAGGGCATTTGCCTTGCATGCAGCCAACCCGGGTTTGATTTCCAGGATCCCATATGGTCCCCGGGCACTGCCAGGGATAATTTCTGAGTGCAGAGCCAGGAGTGACCCCTGTGCATCGCCGGGTGTGACCCAAAAAACAAAAAAAAAATAGAAATATGGCCACTGTTCCTCAATAGATATGCCAGTGACTAAAATCTCTCCCCCTTCCACCCAAAGGGGTGGTCAGAATTTCCTATATTCCTTCAAAACCCAGAGCTGCCATATAGACATTTAGCCTCAGAGTTTCTAGCTGTACCATGTTTCTAATGAAACAAGATCCCCAGAGCCTCTGGGAAACACCTGCCCCGAGTTCAGAGTCCAGGAGAAGAGAGTGTCTTTAATTAAAGCTGCATTCATGCACCACATTCTATGCTGCCATGAGGGCAGAACAGGGTCTGACATTTGCATTGTTTTCTGCTTATTTGACAGAAAATGTGATCTCTGGTGTCTTTCCCATTCTTAGATTTAATTCATCATTCTCCCCAAGCAGCAGGAATCTAGAATATTTATTTCTAACATACACATGTAGGTAGTACTAAAGAGTTAAACTACCATAGCAATTTATTACAAGATAATTAACAGTATTTTTTGAATTTTGTATGTTTTGAATATTAGTTCAATTATTATGTTACATAAAAGACTATGCTGAATTTTTATTTTTTAACATTGGGGTCGATAGCACAGCGGTAGGGTGTTTGCCTTGCACCCAGACAACATGGCTGACCCAAGTTTGATTCCTCCGCCCCTCTCGGAGAGCCCGGCAAGCTACCGAGAGTATCTCGCCTGCACGGGAGAGCCTGGCAAGCTACCCGTGATGTATTCGATATGCCAAACACAGTAACAACAAAGTCTCCAATGGAGACGTTACTGGGCCCGCTCGAGCAAATCGATGAACAACGGGAGGACAGTGACAGTGACAACATTGGGGTCACACCCAATGGTGCTCAGGGCTTAACTCCTGGCTCTGCACTCAGGGATCACTCCTGATGGAGCTCAGGAGACCACATGTGGTGCCAGGGATCAAACCCAGCTAAACCATGTACAAAAGCAAGCAATCTACCCTCTGTACTACCTCTCCAGCCCAATGTTGAGTAATTTTAAGTACCATCTTGAATGCTTGAGACAACCAAAGTATGTCCTATCCACAGTATTATTTCATAAAGTTGAATACTGTGAAAGCTGGATCTAGATGTCCTCCCGTTGTTCATCAATTTGCTCAAGCGGGCACCAGTAATGTCTCCATTGTGAGACTTGTTACTGTTTTTGGCATATTGAATATGTCATGGGAGGTTGCCAGGCTTTGCTGTGAGGGTGGGATACTCTTGGTAGCTTGCTGTGCTCTCCGAGAGGGACGCAAGGCAAATGCCCTACCCGCTGTGCTATCGCTCCAGCCCATCTACTTCCAGAGACTGAAATAATCATACTGTTCAGTCACTTGATATTTATTCAGTGTCATTGGAACCAAATTCCCTACCCCAAATTTCCCCGTAGAGATGTCTCATGTAATCCTGGGATGCTGTGCCCCACTGTCAGAGAGAAAGCTGTCCCAATACTTCATTTTCCTCTTGAAGCAACTCAGGGTTCAAAGCTTTGTCCCTGATGGATGAACACACACAGATGAAGTCTCACTGACCTTAACCACTTCCTCTCCATCCACAATCTTCAGTTTCTCTAAATTCTCCTGTAGCAGTTGAGGCTTCATACGCCACTTCAGCAAACCCAACAAGCCCACTAAAAGAAATTAGAGGAAAAACTACCGTCATTACTGGTCTAAACTGCTCATATCAGGATGTTCCTTCATGCACTTGCACAAACACACCTGCACACACCTGCACACCTGCACACACACCAACACACATGCCACACACACATCTCATGGCTTCAGTACCGTTCTGAGTGAGCTTTGTGGAGCACACCAAGGTAGAAATGGAGAACACATCCCGTGAGCTGATGGACAGTCCCCCGACACTGCTGGAGCTTCGACTTAACGTGCTTCCTTTGTTTTCTACGTGGTGTCGGTAAGAAGGAAGGGTCAGGTAGGCGCTGGCATCTTCCATCTTCTTGCTGTCTCCCTGGAGAAAGCACCTTGGTTACGTCCCCCAGTCAATGGCCTACAACCTCTGCTACACAGAGCTTGCAATGGCCAGATTGCACAGTGTGAAGTTAGCGGGGAGCGGATCGGAAATAGTGAGAAATAAAACAGTTCTGGGGTCAGAGGGACGTGTCTTGCATGGGCAAGGCCCCCAAATTCAGTGCCCAGCATCTCATAGTCCCCAAGAACCACTGAAGTCCAACAAGCGCCACGATGTATGTCCCTGGTGGCCCCCGAGGAGCAGCAGCGTATCTCTGGGCCCAAGCATTGAATGGCCTGACGTGGTTGGCAGTGTATCACCAGGGGTGACTCCGAGTCCTCTTGGGATGTCCCCTCCCCCAGGAAGAAGTGAGGTGTATCAGAAAAAGCAATAGACATCAGTTGCAGAGGGCCACTTAACAATAAGATCTCAAGGCAAGATCTCAAGGTCACATTAACAAAATAAGGCTTGATACCAGCAGCTTAGGCCGGTAATAACAACAGTTTTGCTTGTCTGAACTATTTTAGTGAGTTTACTGGGTTTGCTGAAGTTGCATATTAAGTCTCAACCAGTTTAAGACCCTATGGATTTCATTAATGGCTCAGAGGGAGCTAAAAACTCCCAGTCAGGTTATATTAATTCACCTTAATTTTTAAAAATATCTTAACATACATTTAATATTTCTGCTTTTTAAACTTTTTAAAAATTGAGTTAGCGTGAGATGCACAGTTACAAAGTTGTTCATGATTGGGTTTCCGTCATAGGATGTTCCAACACCCTTCCCTTCACCAGTGTCCATTTCCCACTACCACTGTCCCCAGTTTCCCTCCCGCCACCACCCCCACCCCCTACCCCCACCCAAGTCTCTCTGTCTCTGTCTCTATCTCTCTCTTTCTCCTTCTAGGCATTATGGTTTGCATTACAGATACTGACAATTTATCATGTACATCTAATATAAATTTAGAGAAGAAATCAGTGAGCTGTGGAAATAGTGTGGAAATAGTGCAATGGGCTAAGTGCACCTTACACAGGAGGCCCAGGTTCCAACCCCAGCTCCACTCTGACCCCTGAAAATAGTCAAATGAACCTAAGCACTCAGCCAGGAAGAGCTCCTGAGAACTGCTGGGGAGGCCTCAAAACTTTAATATATATATATGTATATATATTATATATATATATATATATATATGAATAACAAAGGTAATGGGATAAGAAAGTACTGCTCTACCAATCACATGTCCATTCCATCTTGGATATATTCTTGGCCTCTCTGTCTTGTGATTAGTCTAAGGTTAACAATATTACCTTCTTCCTAGAGATTCTGAGCACACTAAAAGGTAGAATCCCAAGAGAGTGGTGGACTCATAAGTCCCTTGAAGGCATTATGCAAGTTAGCTTTTACCTTGTACCAGATGCCACGCTATATGTTTTACATATCTCAGTTCATGTAATATAAGTTTCACCATTGCTACTGTTGTGGATGCCGTTATCACACCCAGTTTACATTTGAGAGAACAGGTTTAAGGAAGGTGAATTGAAAACGGGGTGCAAATGGGCCTCTATCCCCAATGACTGTGGTCTGCTGAGGGTCTAATGACCTTATAGTCAAGAACTATTTTGCTGGGGGGCTGGAGCCATAGGACAGAGGGTAGAGCGTTTGCCTTGCACGTGGCCGACCCGGGTTCAATTCCCAGTATCCCATCTGGTCCCTTGAGCACCACCAGGAGTAATTTCTGAGTGCAGAGCCAGGAATAACCCCTGTGCATCACAAGGTGTGACCCAAAACGCAAAAAAAACAAAAACAAAAACAAAAAAAACCAATTGGGGCTGGAGCGATAGCACAGTAGGTAGGGCATTTGCCTTGCATGCGGCCGACCTGGCTTCAATTCCCAGCATCCCATATGGTCCCCTGAGCACCACCAGGAGTAATTTCTAAGTGCAAAGCCAGAAGCAACCCATGTGCATCACTGGGTGTGACCCAAAAAAGGGGGGGGAGAACTACTTTGCTATATCATAAGTGTAAAAACAAGTTCTACAGAAGGGAGAAGGTATTCCTGACAAAATTGGGGCAACTAAGAGAAAAGTCTCATGTATGTGCTTTGATGAGGTGTTGTTTGATGAAGTAGTATTTTGACCCTAGTCAAAAGGGTGATTTCAACCTACAAGGAGAAAGCTAAGAGCAGGGTGAGATTCCTGTTTCTACCACTAGCCTCATCCTTTGGGCTAGAGCGATAGCACAGCGGGTAAGGCATTTGCCTTGCATGCAGCCAACATGTCCAACCCAAGTTCGATTCCTCCGCCCCTCTCGGAGAGCCTGGCAAGCTACCAAGAGTATCTTGCCCGTATGGCAAAGCCTGGCAAGCTACCCATGACATACTCAATATGCCAAACATGGTAACAACAAGTCTCACGATGGAGACGTTACTGGGACCGCTTGAGCAAATCGATGAACTGTGGATGCTGTGCCCTCAGCTAGCTGCTGGCAGGGGCACCTTGCTGTCACAGAGGGCTCCTGTGAAAGCATGCAGTTCCACTCAAGGCAAACACCTCCTCACGAGTCAAAAAACTTCCAAGAATCATGATGTCAACATAGTGATTCCTTAACATGGGTCGTTCTTGTCATAAGCATCTCCTCTGGTCCTAAACAAAAAGGAAGCTGATATTCGAAGAATAGGCACAGGAGAGAGTTTCAGATGTAGTCGTCCACAAGATCAGGCATCCCAAGTTAATATTTTCCCCTTAGCTGCAGTGAGGCCTGTCTCAAATGTTTCTTGTCAATCTACCACATGAAGATCCCTACAGAGCCAGCCTCCCATCCTTCAGGAGGTAACAACCACCTTTTCTACTTACTGAAAGCTCCATGCATCTATCATTGTAATATTTACAAGAACCGTGTCGCCTAATATTCTCCTAAGTATTCAGTGAGGAACTAGAAGTCCAGAGAAGCTCCGAGGGCACCTAAGACCACAGAGCAGGTAAGTTCTGCCGTGTGTGGCTGTGGTCCCTGCAGTCATGTCGTCTCCCCTGGGCTTCCTGAGCTCCCTGCCCTGGGAGTGAGTTCCAGCTGAGCGTACCTTCAGGACAACCAACTCGTGGTATCCGTCCTGCAGAGTAGTGCCATCCTCCTTCATCAGCTTCACATAAGACATGGCGAAATTCTTTTCTCCTTTATCTTTGGCTGGAAATAGCATTGTGAGGTCAAAAAAGAAGATGGTTTATGGACCACCCATTTCCCCCACCCCTCACGCCTGAGGGCAGACAGAGAGAGGCCGTTCTACTGGGTACTCACATTCCAGGGAGGACCGATGTCGAAACATGAACCGCAGGTGGATCCTCTGCATGTCTTCGATAGGGACAGCCACCTCAGAGGGAAAAACCAAAGCTCAGAAGACAAAGGGTTAAATGGCTCTCCCCACTACCCCCACCCCAAAAAGCAGCCTGACCATTTAAGTGAGAGAGCTGCATGCTGATTTATTACCCATCCATCAAGCCTGATGAACTGTAAATAAATTACATAAGAACTAGCTATGAAGAGAAAATAAAGTACCAAATGTAATCCATTTGGCAAATTGCATTCCTAGCCAATGAAAAGAGGTCCGTAAATTAGAGTGGGGAAAAATGACTCTCCCCAAATTGATATAAAAGTCACATAACTTTAGCACAAGATTTGATGCACTGCAAACTGCACAATGCACATTTCCCTTACACACTCCAGGGATTCTTGTCACTGCAGCAATGTTTATAGTAAAATAACAATGGTCATTAGGGGCTCTGCTTGAAGATTCTCATTTATGTAAATTAATAAAAAGTACTTGAACCCAGTAATATTTAGGGAAATCCTAGGGCTCATTCCCACCTTTGGTTGCAGACAGATGCTTAGCCTTTCTGAGCTAAGACTCCCTGGTCCTGCTGATGGATGGTCTGCTGGCACCTTTGATTCAGATGCTGGATCTACTATGGGTTGCTCTACCTGAGCCTTAAAGATCTCTATATGTAACTCAGAGCAAAGCAGAAAAGCTTAGAAAATCATGGTGATTTAAAGACAAATGTTTATATGCTACTGATGATTACTAAAAAGACAAATATATGTAGACTTGGGGGCACTTATTGCTCCAAAAAATGAAATTTCAACCCAAAGAAATGGGTTCACCATTTCTTTGTATGTTTAAGATAGAGCAGAGGAACTGAGACCCTCTTGGTGGCTACCATCGATCCAGTAATTCACTTTTTCATGCATATTGAGCAATTACTACATGCTATACTCATGTGACACACAGCCCATGCTGATGTAAGGCAGAATCTCTGTACTCAAAGTGCTCATGGCCCACATGAACCAACTATCTGACCACACCCATACTCATCAACTGTGTGACCAGCACTAGCAAAGAGAAGTAAATGGAGTGCAAGACAGTACAGAGACAGAAAAACAAACTCTGTTCAAGAGGCTTCTGATCCCAAAACTGGATACTCTGAAAAGATTAAATAGAGGGAGATTTTCCTGGGAAAAAACAAACACGAATATGTGGGCTGGAGAGATAGTGGAGCCTTACATGCAGCTGATCTGAGTTCAATCCCCAGCACTGCAAATGGTCATCCAAGCACTAGTGGTGAAGGAAGGAAGGAAGGAAGGAAGGAAGGAAGGAAGGAAGGAAGGAAGGATGGATGGAAGGAAGAAGAGGGAGGGAGAGAAGGAAAGAAGGAGGCAGGGAGGAAAAGGAGAAGGAAGGAAGGAAGGCAGGGAGGGAGGAAGGGAGGAAGGAAGTCAGGGAGGAAGGGAGGGAGGGAGGGAGGGAGGGAGGGAGGGAGGAAGGAAGGAAGGAAGGAAGGAAGGAAGGAAGGAAGGAAGGAGAAAATATCTTACAAGGCCAGAACCACTGAGGTCTAAACAGCTATCTTCAAAAGAGAAATTATGCAAATATCCTAAGTTCGGGTTCAGAGGAAGGGTTGAGTAAAGAACACTACTAATTATAAGGCAGAAATATCTGAAGCTGGATCAACATTTGTTGTTCCATGAATTAATTCCAAACTCCTCTTCCAAGGCACTGTGTTCCCTTCTGCTTAGTGCGCTGATCCACTGATGTGAATATTTATTAGTAGTATACCCACTTCCATCTGGGGAACCCACACAATAGGATATCTCTCTAGAGCTCAGTAGCCTTTCAGTACCTCAGTTTTGCTTTCAAACTCCCTCACTGTTCACTGGGATGGCACAGCTGGATGGTCTGGGCACTGTGCACAGAGAACTCTGACAATCCCATGGGGCTTAAGTCTGGGACAGTACAGGGTCATCAAAGCATTTGATCACGGGGCCACCATTTCTATTCCCTGACACACCACCAGGCACAGACTAGGTAGGATGCTGCTTCAGAATTCACGCTATGCTAATGACATGAATGCTGCTGCCGTGGCCATTATGATTACCTTGACTGTTTCCATCCACCGTGGCTGTTTGACTTGATAGTACACCACAGACCGATACTCATTCATGGGCTTGTCTCCAGCTCCCACACAAATTGCATTCTGAACCAAGGAAAGGAAGAGAGAGAAATTACTACAGCATTGCCTTTTACTTGGACAATCCTGACTTCCCAGAGTTTAGGACCCAGCATCATATGCTAGCTATCTACTTTGGCCCTACTGATCACACATTTATACATCAACATCCCCAGCCCTGAGAGTGGTGGCTGCTTAATTACAGAAATTCTATTCCTTGCATTCTGGGAACTCTGAAGTGTACAAGGCACTGACATGGCTACCCTATCTCAAATGGTAACCAGTCTTGGAGGCAGTGCACACAGCCAGTCTGAATCCTCCTGAGTGTGGATCCTCAATCTGAGTGTGCACATTTACAGCCTCAGATCAGACAAGCAGCAGCAGCTCAATCTGGGGGGGATTTCTAAGGTTAATATGCCAAGATACTGGCAGGAACTGGGCAAGGGGCAGGAGCAAGGGTTTTCAAACAGACAAACAAGTGGGGATGTAGAGGGAGCTCATAGGTACGAAGTATTTCACATCCATGCTTAGGCCTGGGATACAAGCATGAGTCAGCTCTGGACCCTGCCTTGAGGGTCACAGTCTGGTGGCAGGATAATAACATTGAACAAACAAATCACCAAGCAATGTGGTGTGATTACAGGCACATGAACCTTCTACGGAAGGGTCTGGAATCAGAACTTGGCTAAGCCTGTGTCCTTCCCTTCCTCAGAAAGGACTGCTTGGAGGTGATTAGAGCTGAGAGGATCTTAAACAAAGATGCTGAGTTGGTTCAGAGCAAAACTGTGGGGAGAACATTCTAAGAGGAGCCAGCACAGGGCAGGCAAACAGCTGTAGATTCAAACCCATAGAAGATCCTTATTCTTTGCCCTAAAGCTCCCCCTGAGCAGAACAAGGAAACATCTTCTCAGTGCGTTGACCATCCCCAAACTGTCCCTCTGTTCATTCTTGATGTTTGATCACAAAACACTATCTAAACCAGGGTCACCAGGAGGGATGAGTGCATGATTTTTTTATACCAGACCAGCAGATTTTAATGCCAAATCTCAGAACTTGAAGGCCCCAAACTGCACAAACATGTGCGTCTAGGCATTTCGCAGTTGGACAGTTCCATGACGCTTACCAGGTTCCATCGGATTCCTCTGACCCAGGTCTGGCGACGCTGCGAGTCCTGAGACCTGAGATAACCTACAGGAAGGAGGGGTTCTGCCCCTCCCCAGGAAAATCCCCTCTTCAGCTCCAAGCTTTCAGGAAAGAATAAACTTGGTTTCAATACTGGCTGATGATACTTTCAGCCAAACCAAATGCTTGAAACAGAGTGTATGGTGTCCTTTCAGAATTTCTGACAAGAAAGTGTAACTGGCCAGTGACCGGGAAATGAGGGAAGTCACAGGACCCCCTCCTTTCTCAATGAGAGGAAGTCCTTCAGAACGTTATGAGGCACAAAACTAATTCGTTTTTGTTTAACCATTTAGAGAGTGCTTTGGGCCTCACATTATGCTAAGCACTTTACACGCACCATACTACATAATTCAACCTTCACAGCCACTTCTGAGATCACCATCAACATCTCCATTTCAAAACTTAGTAAGCTGAGGTCCTGAGAGCTTCAGTCATTTGTTCAAAGAATAACGTATCTGGGTTTTCATCTCATACCCCCTAACTTTTGTCCAGTGTTCCTTCTGCAATCACCTAGATGCCTTCTAGCCTCTCACAATTTATATCTAGTGACATTTATGGGCTGAGTTTCTGTAATTCCAGTGAATCCCATGTAGCTTATAAAATCTGAAAATACACATATATCTCTGGTAAGTGTCAAATTTTGATACGCCAGGCAACTGAATCCCACAAAACTATACCAGTAATGAAAAATTTTGATTGCCTAAGGCAGGAGAAAAATTCTCAGTATTATTCTGAGAAATGCCTAAGATAGCAGCATTATCTTCCATAGTTCGGAGATAAAATAGAACATTACAAAGTATGCTGAGGGAGTGTGAGAAATGGGGACTAAGCCTGGGTTTAGGAAGCTGTAGATTCAAATATGTCTCAAAGAATCCTGTTCAATACTTTTCCTATTGCGTCACTTCCTTGGCTCCCAATAAAAGAGTAGGGGCCTTGAGCTTTCCTCAGGTCAGGTAAAGACAGTGTAGTAGGAAGCCAAAAAGATAGCACAGCAGGTAGGTGTTTGCCGTGCACGCAGTCAACCTGGGTTTGATCTCTTGTACCTCATATGGTTCCCCAAGCCTGCCAGCAGTGATTGCAGAGTGAAGAGGCAGGAGCAAGACCATAGCAAAGCCAGATGTGCCAAAAACGCCCTCACCACCACCACCAAAAAAAGAAGAGTCATTGTTTGTAGGAATCAGAATGCCTAAATGTGGCTGTGATGATAGTCCTGGAGACACACTTCCACACGAGGAAAAGCAAGTCTCCTAACTCAGGTCCAGTCTGCCTCACATGAATCTCTTAAGGGACAGAGGACAGCATGGGTGTGAGGTGCATTATGAGAGCCAAGAAGGCTTCTGCAGGGGCCAGGCTGCATCCTGAAACACAGGTACCCACAAGGCAGGACCCAGCCTGGAGAGGGCACTACCTTTTAGGAATAATGGCTAGCGTCAATGACGTCTGCAACGGACATCACCTCTTTGAACACTCCCGATAGAATTTCAGTCTCAGAGACCTCATCTCACTTGCTCGAGATCATCCTTTTAATCTGCATGTAGCTGAGTTTTGCTACCAGGCAGTTGTCTGGCCCCAAAGGTTGCGATTTTAACCACTACAGCAGGTCTTGCCTCAGAAAAGCAGAGGTTTCTTCTGGATCTGTCCTGCTGTACTTTTGTTTGCTTCAGGCATCCACACTGGATTGCCCATAGTTCCACACTCAATACCTGCCCGGGGTTCAAGCTGCAGACAGTTGGCCTTCTCTGAACGCTACCTTCCGTCCTATTACCCAGGACTGAGCCTACCAGGTCCTTTATCTTTGCTGTTTTTCTTTAACCTGAAACTTCACAAACAGGATTACTATTCAAACTCTAAAAAAAAAATAAGGTTTCCCAGATCTCATCTCTAGTAGTGGGGCGTGGGAGGTGGGCCAGGATTGACGCCCCATCTGTTGGATACCAGAGTCCATGCCCTTAACATCTTTGTTCTGGCCCCTGCTAAGCAAGACCATTCAGACTCCACTCTAAGCCAAGAGCAGGTGCAAACTACTCTGTCCTCTGGCCCCACTGCCAAGGACAGTATGTACCTAAAGCAAAAAGAAAATCTGATTCTCTCTAAAGGGGCTATCTTCTGCTCCCATAGAAACCCACCAGAATCAAATGGGAGTGTTTGAGTATGCTGCCTGACACTTAATTAAGCAGTAATATTTATTTCTGCAAATAGAGAAAAAAAAGCCTCCCACAGGCTTCCTTAGCAATTTTCAATAGTCAGTCAACTGAACTCCCCCATAACTTCCCTAATAAATGAGACTGCAAATTATCACCACACCCCACAGTTACCTTTCTATTTCAGCCTCCAGAAACAGATTATCTATTTGTTTTTTGTAAGTGCCTATTCAGCCTGGTCAGGGTGACTAGAGAGGGGAGTGAAGGTGGAAGTAAGAATTGTTCAGAAATGAAGTCAGGCAGCTGGCTCCCAGTTAGCTGTTCCTTTCCATTTGTCCTTCAGTAACACTGAAGGCAAGCATATCCATGGTTTTTTTTTCAATGAAACAGAGGTTTAAAAGTTCTCCAACAGGTGGTTGTATAAAAATAACTTCAAAGTAATAGCCTATACATTCATGAAATACAGTTTCCTTTCAGATGAAAATCCTCCACTTTTCCTTTGTAATCCTTTGAGCAAAGTATATCTCTCATATATTATTTTTTTCAGAAAAGTTTTAGAGTTCAACATCACCATAGAAAAGAAGGAAGGTGAGCTAAATCCTTGAATTTACCTTAAATAGATATTAATAGGCCAGATGGGGAACAAAACTGCAATTATAGGGATTTCTTTAAATTAAAACAAAAAGAAAGCATAAAACTTTCTGAAATCTGAGAGAAATGGTTATGGTCTCATTTTATTTTTATTTTATTTTTGGTTTTTTTTGGACCATACCCAGCAGTACTCGGGGCTTATTCCTGCTTCTGTGCCAAAGCATCACTCCTGGGTGTGTTTGGGGGACCTGTGTAGGGTGCCAGGGGTCACATGCAAGGCGAGTGCCCTACCCACTATATTACTGGTCCACCCCTATGGAGCTCATTTTAATAATGAAATGTTAGGGGTCCATGGATAGCTTAGAACCTCTGCCTTGCAAGCTGGAAGTCGGTGAGACTGCCATTTTGATCCCCAACACCACCCTACAGGTCAAAGTGCAACCCTAGAGGCTCTGATCTTTGGGATCTTCAGAGTCGCAGCAGAGAGCACAATCTCTAGCACAACACAACATGCACCAATGCCAAGTGTGTGAGCTCTATCAAGTGCTGCAACCAACGTGTGAGCAAGCACCACAACCAGGGTGTACAGCTCCTGGTCGCGGAAAAAATAGAAACAAAGGTAAAGAGAGGGGAAGACCAAAAATAACAAATTAAAAATAGAGAAATTTTTTTTGTCAATTTCAGGCATTAAAATGAAGTGCTTCAAGGACAGAGTGAAAGTTCAGTATACCGGGAGCACATGCTTTGGACATGGGAGACCCTGGCTTCATCCCCATCACTGTGCGGTCCCCTGTGCAGTCAGTCCACTGCTGGGAGTGAACCCCAACCACAGAACCGGGAGTAGCTCCCAAGACAGGTATCGCCTAAAGCCTCAAAACAAAACAAAAAGCTATAGTGATGTGTTTGAGGGCCTCTTAGTGTAGAGGGCCTCTTTCCTTCAAGAGGAAACTCACTTGTGCCTTATACTAAATATAAGACTCTGGGACAGTTGTCTCACTTTACAAAGGTTCAGTTTCTTCCCTGTAAAATGGGGACATTAATATTAGACTTAATGCAAAGCAGAGAAATAAACAAGCTAGTTTTCAATGAAAAGGAGGGCTCATTATTCTTAGGCAAAGGGCGGCAAATCCTGCCAGGGTCCCACACCCCAAGGCTAGAGAGGAGGATTTAGTAAAAATTGCACTCCTACCCTTCTGGGCTATTTGACTACTTCTGTGGCCTAAGAGCAACATTTACCCACGCTGAAACTTCTGCTGAGAACTGACTTCGTTTTCAGCCAAGCACTCGAAAAGGAGAACGAGAAGCAAAACCCTCCTACACACTGGGCACAATTGCTGACAACCTTAAAGGAAATGTAAGTAAATAAATATAAACACACATGACAAATATTGTTTGGGACATATGCTGTATAAATATTTATAGCAATGTATTTTGCATTCTTGAATATAGTCTGCCAGTTCTCTGGAGACCAATTTATGAAAAAGGCATTTCACCAAAATTTCTGGCTAAGTACTAGGGAGTTAAGATTAAATATTGGGAATGTCTGTTTTGAGGCCATCCTAAGTCTCATCATCAGCCCGAGGCTCTGCATTGATTCCCTTCCCTTGCCAAGTATTTTGCTGAAATAAACTAGTTAGGTTTCAATGAAAATCAGATTTTTAACTGTAAATACCTGAAGTATAAGCAGAGGCTAGGAAGAAACAGAAGTGGGTCAGTAAAGAAAATGAAGAGATGTTGAAGAAAAAAAAAGGTCAAAAAGAGAGTACAGGGGTCTTAGCACATGCCTTGCTTGAGCCCAGCCCCGGTTTGATCCCTGTCACCATGTGGTTCCCCTGAGCATCATCAGGTGTAGCCCTGGAAGCTTCCAATCACCACAAGGATGGTCTGAGTGGCTCACCAGCACCCACAGGGACTGAGCAGAAACATACTCAATTGTCCAACCTGGTTGGCCTACAATTGCTGGGAGTGGCCACAGGCCCCTGAGCACTGGAAGAAAGGAAGGGAGGGAGGGAGGGAGTGAGAGAGGGAAGGAGCAAGGGAAGGAAGGAGAATGAAAGTAAGGTTGACACACTGTCTCCTTATGGGGCTACCATGCTAACCAATCTCCAAACGTGTAGGTGACATTACTCAAGACCATGCCCACAGCACCTGACATTTAGAGATCAGGATCAGTCTGGGAGGGGGGAATACACCTCTTTATAAGCCAATGTTCCCATGGGCCGCTCTCCACCAACCCCTCGAAGCAACAGCAGGTCTTACGGGCAGCGTTTTGCCATCCTTAGTGCACACACACATGATCACTTCCACATTCCTTTGCGTGGTCTTGCTGTACTTGTCAAAGTCGCCTTGCAGGAGAGTGATGTAGATGTCGTTCCTGACGTCCCCTGAGGCAGAGAGAGGCAACAGTCTAAGCATCAGGAATGACACTGACTCCCTGAGGGCAAGTGGGGGAGGAGCTGTTGAAGGGTGGGAGACTGCTCCCACCTTGACCTCTCTATTCATGAAATTAAAATCAGAACTGCTTGAAAAAAAATTTTTTTAAACCTTATCAGGAAGGCTAGAAACATAGGTAGCAAGAAGATAGAGAAACACAAGAAAATCAGGAAATCAGAAGCATAAAAACGGGCAGCAGGACCTGTCAAAATGGGCCATGTTTTCTCACCATTAAAATTATTTAATTTTCATCCTCTAGTGACACCTTCTGGGAAGGCAAAGGAAAGCTCCAACTGAATGCCCCATGAGTAACAAACAGCTGTGATCATCACAGATCTTAACTGTACAGAGTGACTCTGCACACATTTTAGGAACAGAGGTCACTGAGGAGGAAGAGGAATTAGGAATAGGGGGAAGAAAAAATTAAAACCCCCAACAAGGGAATACAGAGGGAAATGAAGTCTTGGCTAAAGCAGGTATTCAAGGAGAGAAGGAAGGGGGAAGTCAGGAAGAACAGTGATGGAACCAGCCTGACACAGGTGTAGCACAAACTGGAAAGTCTTAGGAATGTTCTTATATAATATTATTTTCTTTAATTACATATACAGAATAGCTAATAGCAGTGGCTTCTGGAGACAACGATTTGTTGTTGGGTAAAAAGGGTTTTAGTCACAGCCAGCAGGGCTCAGCAATCATTACTAGGGTGGCAACAATAGTACAGTGAGTAGGGCATTTGCCCTGCACGTGGCCAACCTGGGTTCAATCCCCAGCATGCCATATGCTTCAGCATCGCTAGGAGCAATTCCTGAGTGCAGAGCCAGTAGTAACCCCTGAGTGTCATCGGGTGTGATCCAAAAATTAAAAAAAAAATTAAAAAGAAATCATACCTGGTGGTCCTCAGGGAACCATATACAATACTCGGGAATGAACTGGTTTTGGTCACATACAAAGCAAGGGCTCAACCACTGTACTATCTCCCCAGCTCGGTGGAGACAAAATATTTCATTAAATTTTTCACATTTGACTTTATAACTTTTTATTTTATTTGAAAATTTTACAAAGAGATTCTTCGTGTAATAAAAAATAGTTTAAATTTTTAAGGGAATGATATTATTCCCTAAAAGGAATAGACTTATTCTGTATGTAGTTAAAAAAGAAAGGATGTCCATGATAAATTACTGAGTGATATAAAGCAAGTTATAGAACACTACATAAAATACATAAAATAATGGCATATAAAGTGAGATCCTATTTATAGGGACAAAAAGAGCTTAAGTATATGATAGTGCTTCTTCCATGAATGCATGGGAGATTTATGGCTACACAAGATTGATTTTGGTAGATATCTTCAGGGAAGGAAATTGAGAAAGAAAAAAAAAGAAAAGAAATAGACCTGAGAGAGAAACACACCAGGATTTAACAATCTAGACCACATATTACCCCAACCCCACCCCACCCCCAACAACTATGCCCTCTCAGCCCCTCCCGAGGTGGCCAGACCTGGCATGATGATTTCTGGGAACCCCAGCTTCCTGGCCACCACCGTGGTCCTGTCCACCAAGTGTGGGTAGTCCTTCCGGATCTGAACAATATCCCCCACGAGCATCTTCATGGTCACCCAGAGGCCTGGAAGGGAATGATCACCATAAAAAGGCAACCTCTTCAGTCATACTGTCCGGAGTAGGGCGCTGGACTCAGAGACAGACCACCGTAGATGCAGGAGCCCAGTCCCAGGGAAGACGGGGCAGAAAGCCAAGAGCTCTAGAAGAGGAAATGTCCCACATGTTCTAGCTGGGCCAGCTTTGTCACATGGGGTTGATGCCATCTTTTCTACAGGGCTCTGGGCGAGATGAAATCAAAGAAAGAAGCATGTCAAAGTAACTGATATGCAGCCTCCTCTGGGCCCTGGGACACACCTCCTGTTGCCTGTTCTCACAGCAGCCTGTCCTGAGAAGGCTGTTTCCAGTCAGGAGTTCTGATTGTTTGCTCAAGAGCCACCCAGACTACTCAGCACACCGGCACCGTACCTTGCCCTCCGCTGTCTCCTTTGGAGGCTGTGACTTTACTCAGGAGGCTGTGTAGAAAGTCGTTCTCCGCAGTCACTCTGGAAAGGAGAAGAGAACACCTAATGCGCATGTGGCACCCTCACACAGTCTGCCACTTAGGGTTCTGAGGACTCCAGAAAATGGCACAGCCCTTCCAGAAGTGAAAGGTGAGCCTACCAGTAGGCACAAGTGGCACAAGCTCCTCTGGAGCCGAAGTGATATATAGCAGGTAGAGAGTTTGCCTTGCAAGCAGTCAACTCTGGTTTGTTTCCTGACATCCCATATGGTCCCCTAGCCTGCCAGGAGTGATCCCTGAGGGTAGAGCCAGGAGTAAGTCCCAGCACCACTGGGCGTGGCCCAAAAACAAAAAACAAACAAAAAAGTACTTAGCTTTTTTTTTTTTTAACAAAACAATGTGGCTCTAAACTTTGGGATGAAAAAGCTACAGAGGTCAGTTTTCACTCCTATAGGAAGACTCTGGAAGGATTCCCAGCACTCAAAACGAGTATCTGTTCAGCAAGGTGGCAATGCCCTTAGCTGGTCTTGCTAAGTCCCAGTCACATGCCATAACCAGAGTCACTGATGATCACCATTTAACAAAATACCATCATCCTTAGATCATCCATGGAGAAGCAAAGGCACGTTCTCAAAATGTCCTTTCTCAGGTTCTTGCTCTAAATAGAGCAAGAAGAGGGCATTTACCACCCTCCCTACCCTTTCCTCAAGTCATAGTACCTCTACCTACCAGGTAGGCCAGGGTCTACTTTATTTGCTGTGGGGAGACTGTGACTCACAGATTCCGGTTTCCGGTCCTACTTGTACTAACACACTATTCTCTTGTTGATTCTGTGTTCACTCCCCCATCTAAACATCAGCTCCGTCAAGACTGATGAGGCTCTCGTTCACCCCTTCATTCCTCGCACCTAGCACAATGCTTCTAGCAGCCTTTACCAAAGGGTATTGAATGAATAACATTTGACATACAGAGGGGTGGAAGGCTTGCTGGCTTTGAATGCCTTGTACTGAGGCCATCTTTCCATCCCACCTTCCCCTTGAGAGGTTCCATCTGGATATCACTAACTTGGGAAGCCAATTCACCCTGCCATCCAGTGACCCCTCAGTGAGAAAAGGTGATGGAACAGAATGGAAAGAAATGGGAAAGTCTCTCACGGGTGAAAAGGAATAAAGTGCTGCTTTTCTTCGTCACTCTCAGCTTTCCCCTTGATGATGTCTGTTATGTCCATAACTAGGAAGAAAAAAAAATGGGTTACAGGTATATGCGCTACACTTCTGCATAGGATGGCAATGTTGGGTCAAGAGAACCCAAAACGACAAATTAGCGAGGCCAGGCAGTGAGGATTCACCCCATGCAGCACCTAGCAAACACCTCTGGGCAAAGTAGGCTGCAATGTCAGAAACTACAGAGACATCCAAGAAGCAGTCCAGCAGTAGCCAAGAGGAAAGAGAGCAGCATCACTGGAGTTAAGCAGTTCTGCTTATGCAAACAGATGCAGACTACGATTATAATACCCAAGCCCAGTGATTCCATATGTGATCTAGGAATCTCATGAAATCTCTCCACCCTCTCTTCATATGCACAGACACATAACTATAGGATCCCTGAACCCTAAAACTCCAGAGAGACCCTGGATCCCTAGAAACTTTTCCTTAAAATAGCAACTAAAGATTCATCAAACCCTCCATGAGGTCAGGAATTTATAGAAATGGTGGAGGAAGTGGGAGGTGCTGGAAAAAGCTCGTCAGCCAGAGCCAAAACTCCAGTAACACAAATACTTCAAATACTCTGGTCCTAGACAGGGAGTCATTAGAATTGCTTGGGAAATAAACAACCAGTGATTGCAATTAGCTCAAGAGAGGAGCTAGGAAGCTAAGAAAAGGTAGAAAGCAGCTATTTACTTGTAACCAGCACCCATACTCTGTAATCTCCCCTGGCCTCCTATCAGTGAGAATGGTTTGGGTGGAGTCATTCCCCCGGCTCCAGAATCAATCACTTGCCCTAGCCTGACCCATCCAAGATCTCTGTCCCCATACCCAGATTAAGTACCTTTGGGGTAATCTTCTCTTAAGATCCTGAGCTTCACCTGGAACTAAAAGGGAAAAAATTCCCTGGGTAGAATTCAAGCTTTCTAACAGGCGGATATTTTGTTCACTAATTGGTAGCCATCTTTAGAATAAGCCTGCAAGTTAGTACAGTGGGTAGGGCACTTGTTTTGCATGCAGCCTACCCTGGATCAATCCCCAGAACCCATAAGATTCCTTGAGCTCCACCAGGAGTGATCCCTAAGTGCAGAACCCTGAGTATTGCCAGTGTGACCCCAAAACAAACAAAAAGAACAAGCCTACAAGGGGATACAGAGGTTAAGAGGCAGATATTAACTCATTTCAGCTTTTGGATTTAGTTATGCCAAAAGAAATCGATTTCTGAAACTTTCATTTCTATCAGCCTTCTGTGATCTGAAACCAAAAGCGAGAGCGTTTTTCAGCTAGGGACAAAAGCACGCTGTGAATGAAGACGGAAGGTTTCTCACTGTATTAACAAATGCACTGCGGTGTCAGGAGTGGCCTCACCTAGAGTAAGAGCATGTAAGAGCAGTTTAAAGATCAAACAGGTCCAAGCCCCTCACTTTGAAGAGAAGAAACTGCAGTCCTGGGGAATCCTGCTCAAGATCATCTACTGGCAGGTGCAAACCAAAACCAAGTCCAGCTATCTCAGCCAAACTCCTCCCAGTCTGTAAGTGCCAGGAGGCTGATGGAGAGCCAGCTGCTTTATGATTCCAGATCAGGCTATCCTAAACTAAGAAGGTAGAAAAAGTGAATTTAGGCATAGGACATGGGCGCACTTATAAAATTTCCCATTTTCGACAAAAAGACTAAAACTGGCATATCTCATCGCTATTTCCAAATATTTAAGTGTATTTAAAAAAGGAAAAGAGCTTTAAATCAGATGGGATAATTAAAAAGAAAAATACATTTAGTAAACAGTGTAAGTCATAGTCAAATATAACAAAATCCACAAAAGTAGGACAAGAATGAAAAATTCTCAGAAACGGCAAGAGGCAGAGAAGGCTTGGAGAAACAATGCGGAGGTGATCCATCTCTGAAGCAGCTGCCTTTGGTCATGCCAACTCTCCAAACATCCCCTTCCATCTGGAATTTAGCTGTGTGGCGGGTGACTCATCCTGTGTAACTGCATTTCTTGTCCCGGATATTTTTTCTTAAAATGATTTGCTCCTCATAATTAGATCCTGGCTCTCCTGTTCTTTCCTTTTTCCCACACTGGGAAGCAGAGGCGCCAACTGCTCAGACTGCGCCAAGCTCCCAGCGCTCTGCCCCAGACCTGAGGATCCCATTACTCACCGCCTTCATCACCAACCTGGACGGGGCCGCCAATTATTTCCTGTTAGTCCCCAGCGACATGAGGATTACGGGCTGCTTGGCATAAATCTTGGGGAGTAGGGAAATAACAACCGGATTCCCATGGAGGTTCAATACCATGCAGACAGTCAGGGGCGTGGGGGGTCATTACCTGCCACCCCAAAGGGCCGCCTCAGTCCCTGGGTGCACTTATTTGTATTCGTCTCTTTGATATCCATCTTCCCAACTCGGACTATTTGACAAATCAAGTAGATTTTATCTCGGTTGAGATCTTTGTTTCCAAGATCCTGTAGGGCAGCAGAGATACGGTTACACACCCCTCCATCTAACGAGAACAAAGTAGAAGAGGAAACTGAGTAATAATAAATCCTGGGCCCGAGTTTTGCACTTAGTATGTAGGGACCAATCCCACCATTAGTCTTGGGAAGGGTAGAAAACAAAGCAATCAACAGCTAAGAGGTGAGGTTTAGAGAAGAAGCTAGGTGATAGAATCTGGTTTTATTCCGAACTCTGCCATCTCAGAGAAGTACTGAGCGCAAGTATCAGTTACAGGGGCAGGAATCCTTACAAGGATCATAAATAATCCTTCTATATGGGAAACAGTATTTGTACACATGTCTCCAAGAACCTCAGCATAGTGCGCAGCACCTCAGAGAGAAAATCAAAGAAACAGGACAAAGGGCCGGCAATTTCCCATGCACTTAATGGATGTCTGGAGGTTCTAGCAAACCGAGAGTATCTCGCTTGCACAGCAAAGCCTGGCAAGCTACCCGTGATGTATTCAATATGCCAAACACAGTAACAACAAGTCTCAAAATGGAGACATTACTGGGCCCACTCGAGCACATCGATGAACAATGGGAGGACAGTGTTTGCTTGTTTGTTTAATGGATGTAAGCACGCAGGATTGGGACACAGCGGCACCAAATACCCCCAGTAGCTCAGAACTTCCATGACGTTCAAAGTTTGCTTCTTGCTCAGACTACAGGTTCGATGCATATGTCTAAGAGCTCCAGGCACTCAATCTGGACCCCTGGCTGACAGGAAATCTATATCCACACATAGGTCCTTCCACTGTCCCCACAGCAGGGAAGAAAGGTGACAAATTACTTATTGGTTTTTTTTTTTTTTTTTGCAGTGCTGGGATGAAATCTGGGGCCTCACATGCAGGCACATTCCCAGTCCTTATTGGCTTTTCCCAAGCGGCCACCCAGCAAAGACATATACCCTCCACTCATTTCCCCTCCTTACATCTCACTGGCCGGAGCAAGGCATGTGAGCACCTAGAATTTCAAGGGGGATAGGAAATAAAACTCAATTGTGTGTAAAGAAAAGAGAACGTTGGAGCCAGTGAACTACACTAAATCTCATACACTGTGCTGAATGTCTCACATGTCAAATCTTCTTTGCTCCTGACTCTCTGAAGTAGATGCTATTATTATACCCATTTTACAGATGGGAAATCTGAAGTACTCAGAATAAAGGTTTCTACAAAGTAATGATCTTAGTCACTGGAGACATTACCCAGTCATTGTGACACCAAAATCCTATCACGCAATACACCCCCTCTCCACCACAAAGGCACCCAGGAGCAAAAATCACTGAGACCATCATTGCATAAAATAATTGCCCCGTTCCAATCTTAAAGTTTTAGTAACCCTGAGACCCCCTTCCAATTAGGTTCAGTTAGAGAAGAAATATTGAGCATGCTTGTCAGCACCAAGTACATAGTCCTCGATCTGATCTCACTGGGCAACAGTTGCTGCTCTTCCCAGTTAATCTTCACACAGTTAGAAACAGTAGGTGCAGGCCATCAGCCCGCATCAGAACCGGGAGCTGGGTAGACTAGCTACTCTACCCTCACTCTGGTTAGTGTGGAAGGAAGAGGATGGTGAAGGGGCAGGGTCTTTGGGGACAAGACATGGTTCAATGTGGTTCATACCTCTCTACTTTGGGTTGTGTCAACTTGGTGAGTGTATGTTGGTATCAACTTGGTTGATACCTTGTTGCTTGGTCAAACACTTGTCTAAATGTGTCTGTGATGGAATTTTATAGATCTGAATATCATCTACAATCACTAAGTAAAGGGTATTACTGTCAATATTGTAAATGGGCCAGTCTAGTTCTATGCCTTAAGAACAAATGCCAGTTTCCCCCAAAAGAAAGAATTGCACATGAAAACAAATATAAAAATCCTGCCTGGTTTTTAAAAACCCTGCCACTCTGCCCTCCAAATTTCAAACTTGCCAGTTCCATGGGCACAAAACCACTAAGAAGCCCAACCTTTAAAACAATTTCAGGTGTCTTTAATCATACTGGCATTGTTTCTATGGGGTGGGGGAAAACAGAACAAAACAAAACCCTGGCTGATACAGGGCCATCCTCTCACCAGTTAAAAGAAATGGAGATCTACTTCCGCAGTCCCCCGGTGCTCCCTGAGGGGTGGGGAGAGGTAACTTCAGGGAGGAAGGGCTGCATCCCTTACCGGTGCCACATCCCACAGACCTCTGAGTTTGAGATCCCAATTATTTCACAACCAGAGGGTTAGACAGCCTCTCTGTTTGCCTGCCTGAGCACCTCCTCCATTCTGCCCTGAAATCACCTCCAAACTCATCTTTAGAAGCCATAATCATTATTTCATTTCTCTCCCCCACCCCAACATTAATAGCTCCCTTTTTTCCTACCTATTAGTGCTAATCTTCCCAAGCTGACGTTAAAGGTCCTGGACATATTATATTTCCAGCTGTCCTACCCAACTGATTCTCCACTATTCTCTGCATGCACGTACTCTATTTTTAGCACAAAGATTTCTTTACTGCTTCACAAACACACAATGTTCACTTTCAACTATGGATCTTTCTTCCTGTGGCACCTGTCTGCATCCCCACCTCAAAAGCTTTCCTCCTCTTCCCCTCTCTATATACAAATCCTTTCCATTCTTAAAAGCTCAAGTCTGGCTTCCTTTATAATGAGGCTTATCCCTAATTACTTCTCTCCTTTTGTTAGGATTTCTTTTACATTTTTTTGGGATATCTAAATTGGTATCTTTTAGAGGCATTACAAGGACATAGAGGCCCAGGCATATCACAGAGTTCTTCCTAGATGTTATGGGCTGTATCTATACCCCTCAAAATTCAAATGCTGAAGTCCTAACCCTTAGTACCTCCAAATGGGATGATAATTAGAGACAGCCTTTAAAGAGGTGATTATGTTCTTTAAAGGGTAAACTCTAATCTAATACACTAGTGCCCTTAAAGGAGATTAAAACACTGACACATAGAAGGAAGAGCATAGAACTGAGAACATAGGAGACAGCCATCTGAGGAGCTACAAGAGACCTTTGCAGAAATCAACTCTACAATATCTTGCTCTTGCTCTTGGCCTTCTAGCCTCCAAAACTGTGAGAAAATCTATCCCTGGTGTCAAAGTATCAATCTGTGGGACTCTGCAATGGCAGCCCTAGCTGCCTAAAGCACTAGATGAACCTGTAAGATTCCAAGCCAGGAACGTGGTCCAGTGGTAAAGAACTTGGCTTGCACATATCAGGCTGCGGGTTTGATCCTCACCACCAAATGGAGGAAAAAAATAAAGGATGAATTTACAAAGTGTGTAAAGTCCCTGAATAAGTGACATTCCATCTATCATATCTGAAAACAAGTAGGCAACAGTTCTTTAAAAACCCTAGCATTAGAGTATATGCGGATATATAAGGTAAGGTAAAGGTAAAGGCCCTACCGTTGTTCATCGATTTGCTCGAGCGGGCCCAGTAACGTCTCCGTTGGAGATTTTGTTGTTACTGTGTTTGGCATATCGAATACATCACGGGTGGCTTGCCAGGCTCTGCCGGGCCAGCGAGATACTCTCGGTAGCTTGTGGGGCTCTCTGAGAGGAGCAGAGGAATCAAACTCAGGTCAGCCATGTTGGCTGCGTGCAAGGCAAACGCCCTACCGCTGTGCTATCGCTCCAGGCCCTCCTTCAACTTTTAGAACCCTAACATTCCCTTGAGCGGGGCGCGCACATGCACACAGGCCTGCGTACACACGAGTGTGAAGCACCTCCCTTGCAACTCCCACCCCCTGCCCCACCTCCCGCCAGTAACTCAGCACCAGCCTCTATCAGCCATCCAGGGAGCCCTGGGGGAAGAGCAGAGCTCAGCTACCAGGTGGGCGCTTTCCTTTCTCTCCCGGCGGAAACTGAGAACGTAGGACATCGAGTTCTCAGCCCTGCTTTGCAGAAGAGCCCAGGAAGCAGGTGGAGGGGGGGAGGGGGGGCTGGGCCCTGCCGTTCTCTGCTGGGCACCACCAAGTGCTTCTCCCCTCTCTGCAGAGGCAGCCCGGTCACACCAGGTGCGTCCCGAGAAGGGCCGGGTAGGAGGTGTGCAAGGACACAGCAGATATATAAATCTCAGCAAAATGCATGTGTTCAGGTTATCCTCTGGAGGGTAATAAAGGGGTAACTCTAATTCAGAACTGTGTTCCCATCTGCATTGTGTCTTAACCATCTGTACAATGTACAACAAGTAAAAGCTAACTCTACTTTAACCTTAGAAAACTCTAACATATTTGGGAAGTTGAGGAAGGAAGAAGAACAAGGGGACTTAGAATCCATGTCACCTGATTTGATAATTCACCAGGACATGTTTGTCTCATTGTCTGAGAGGAGTGCATACCCCTGTAACCTGCTCCAAAGCCCAACTGGTATAAAACAAAAATACAATTATCATTAATTTACATAGAAAAAAATGTAAGTGTTCTTAGAACTCAACTATAATCTTCCAAATAACAGGCAAAACCATATTGGTATGGAGCAAAAGAAGGGATGTTAAGATCCACACAGCCTGGTTTAGGCAGCCCAAGGACAGAGCACAGCTGGGCCACTCTCACTGCGTGGGTGCCACCAAACCAACACTGGATACTAGTTTCCCCCTTTCATTACTAAAAAAGATAATAATCTCTTCAGATTTCTTTCTGTTGGTGGAAACAGGTACTGATGCAGCATTTTTTGGTGAAAGTAAATTGCAGTAACACAAACTTCAAAAAGCAGAGGATTCCTGCACTCTTTTTATTATGTTAGCAGAAACCCAAAAATCAGGTTCCCCTGTAAGGAACTTCATGTTCTATGTATATTACTCTCCCATTATGGGTCCAAGGAAGGTGAATATAAAGCAGACAGAGGGACACCCCACCAACAACCAGATCCAGGAACCATCTTCTCAGGCTCTGTCCCCAGGAAAGAGACTAGAAGGAGCTAAAATCTAGAGCCAGAAAAATAAAGTCAGCAAAAACACATGCCCGCCAAGTTTTATCTCTTCTCTGACTTAAATGTCACTGCAAGGTCCAATTGAATATAACTCCTAGACAAAATCCATCCCATCATCCTGTTTAACTATATGACATGAATTTTCTTCTTGTTTATCTTATTGTTTATTTACTTACTTATTTTTGGTTTTTGGTTTTTGGGACACACCCAGCAGTGAGCAGGATTTAATTCTGTACTCTGGTCATTGCCAGTGGATACCATTCTCAGGGGAATATATGGCATTCTGAGGATCGAATCTGGGTCAGTCATGTGCAAAGAAAGCATCCTACCTATCGTACGATTACTCTATTATTCACTTTCTTCTTATTTTATTTCCTCCTCTCATACCACAAAAGTAGGAGGCTACAGATGCAGCCACTGTTTTTTCCCCAACAACTAGCACAGAGCTTGCACATAATAGATACTTATCAGGATAATGGATGCTCACAGCTGACCACTGCTCAATTCCCGGTGCTGCACAGAGCTCCCCAAGTCCTTCTAGGAGCACAGACTTAGTAATTCCTAAGCACCACCAGGTATGGCCCCCAAACCAAAAGTTAGTTAATAAAATAAAACTAGCACCATGACTTTCCTCATTCTGAAATAAAAATTCCAGTCATTTAAGAAAGAGGGAAGTTGAACCAACAAAGCTTCTCGAGTTCATTTGTGGTGGTAAGAAGTGGCAGAACTTCAAGAAAGCTGGATCACACTTTCGTTCATCCCGGACAACACAAAACTACCGCTCTCCTTTCCCACAGGTTTACATCATGAATTGCTTTTCTAAAAATGAGCCACTGACTGATTCCCTGGCCCTCTTCCTCTCGTGAAACATATGTCTCTTTGTGTAATCGGGAAGCCCTACAGAACTCTCCTATTAGTCAAGAAAATTAATAGTCTTCTCCTTCTAAGTAATAATAGATAAACAGGACTGAGGTACATTTATATACGCCAAGAAAACTTTGTGTATGCAATTAGGACCTATGATCTTATTCCAGGCCTCTGGCCCATTTTTCAGGATATAACAAACAAAATAAATCAGCTGCACTCCAATCTAATTGTGACATAATGTAAGACATTGCACTTAATGGACTGTAACTAGAAAATCATTGTAGAGCAAGGTAGGTTAATCTAGCACTTTGGTCACTTCTAGATCAAACTCCTTGGTTTGGTCAATGTCCAAGCCCTTTCCTGGCTCTACTTCTGTCATTTACCTTGAACAAACAGGCATTGCAGTGAAAAATTTCATAAACGCATCTTCTCCCCAAAGGAGCTTACAAACAACACCAATATCCTTAGGTGTCGTAGGGCCACACTCTTAGCACACCCTCATGGAAAAGTGGGAAATAAATGATAACCTTATCTTCTTCATCCTACGGTTTCAATTTTCAGAGCTGAAAAAATAGTTTCACTCAGAAATAAGTCATACAAAGGGCTGAAGCTATAGTACAACAGGTAGGGCACTTGCATTGCATGTGACTGACCTGGGTTCAATCCCTGGCACCCACTACAGCCCCTGAGCCTGTCAGGAGTGATCTCTGAGTGCAGAACTGCTAGGAGTAAGCTCTGAATGCTGATGGTATGGCCCATAAACCATCATCATCATCATCATCATCATCATCATCAATCACAAAAAACAACTGATTTAAACTTACGTCTTGTCCAGTGCATACTAGTGTTTAGAAGGATACCAGGAACCATTAGGTCTTCAGCATTCTAATACTCAATTTGCCAAGCAGTCAATGTTTTAAGAAGGTGTTTTTTGTTTTCATACCTGACATATCTTAGGAGTCTATACCAAATTGAAAAAACTTGGGTTGACTGGTAAACACAGTTACAATATTTTAACCAGAAAATAAAAATCAAAAGTTTCTGTCCCCTAGATATCATCTGTCAAAAAGGTTAGTGCTAATTTACTTAGTGCTCTGTATCTTTGTGCGCATGAGTGATAAAGAGAGGGAGGGAGGAGGGGAGAAGAGATTCGTCTTCCCAACCACTTTCCCAGGCCAAACAATGCCCTTTCTCTGTTCTGAATCTCTACAGAAGCCCAGAGGACAGCTCTGCCCTAAGGCTGTGCTCTCTCCAGACCTGTCTCATTTCCAAGAGCATATCCTCCTGAATGCACCATGTCAGGGAGAAGACCATGAAACCTACCGTGAAGACCACCTTTAAGTTGTTGAGCATCTCAATCTCCTTTGGAAAGCCTTTGCTGCCCCATCGCACCAGGTAGTTCTCACTGTGGGAAGCAGAGCAGCAACCCATTACTGCCAGGAAAATGCAAATCAAAACAAAATGAGCTACCACCACCTCACACCATGGCTATCCACCAAGAACCAAAAGTGTTGGCAGGGATGTGGAAAAAGGAAATTACTTTAATGTTGGAAATATAAATTAGCACAGCCACCATGGAAAACAGGACTAAGGGTCGTCAAAAATTTAAATTACAAATATCATATAACTGAGCGATTTCACTTTTGAGTATTTATCTAACAGGGGGAAAAACACTTATTTGAAAAGATTTCTCACCTCTGCCTTCACTGCAGCAATATTTACAAAAGCCAAGACATGGAAATAATATAAGTGCTCTTATATGGATGAATTGTAAAGACTAATATCTAGTAGTATAGGAAAAAATGTAAGAGAAAAATTATATTGGCCAGACAATACATGCCTATTAGGTCATTCAAGGATTTTGATTTTGTTCTAAGACTAATGGAAACCTATTTAAATCTTTTATGTAACTTCAGTTCTCCTGTACAATCATTTACCAATTTACCATCTTATACTTTTTTGGCATGGGAGGGGGAATACCCAATGGTGTTCAGGGGGCTACTCCTGGCTATGCATCAGGAATCACTCATGGTGGGCTTGGGGGACTGAACTCAAGTTTGCCACAAGCAAGACAAACACCTTACCACCGTATTATCACTCCAGCCCCTACCACTCATACACTTTAACAACCATACACCATCCTGTGTGGTTCATACTTGTCATTCAAACCACACTGAAAAAAATGGAGAATTCTAACATTTCTATAACTTAAGAGTTTAGTTTTTTCTTCTGAGTTGTACCATTACACTTTCCAGACCTGTCAGGAACATACAGTTGATCCTAAATAAATGTCCACTGCCTTGAGTTAGGAAATAAAAACCAAAGTTAAAAATCCAAGTCACCCAAGAGCATAACTGGAATTCAGCAAAATTAAGGAGAATTGTCCTCATTTTAGAGCTTTGTTCTCCATAACATCTTGTTCTCCTTTCTCTTCACTCAACCCTAGGAGATAAATTAGGGCAATTTGGAAAATTTCAAGGGGAAATGGAACTGAAAACAACAAAACAAAGAAATGAACAGTCCCAGAGTGACCCATGATTAAAACTCGATGAAGTAAATTAATTAATTCTCTGTCTCTGTCATCGTCTATCTTCTTTTCTCTCCCTCTTTGGCTAAAATTTTTACAGGAATTTGCAACAAACTAGTCAGGAAGTTTTTCTCAAGAAAGTTATTTTTAATTATTTCCCATTGTTTATTTCTGGACGGTGGTAGTAAAATACCTGAATATTTCCCAAGAACTTTCATCACTAGTCACAAGCCCACAGAGAAACAGCCTGCTAGGTTGAAACAACAGGTACCAATACTCATAAATAAGAAAAGCAATTTCGGAGGGCTGAGTAGGTCCCATTCAGCCTCACCCAGGAAGAACTGAGAGTTAAAGCCAAAGGCCTACTTGGCACCTGAGTAAAGTGAAACCCCATTCATAGATTACTCCTTCCCCCAGGAGAGGGGGAGAAACCATTCCCGGTCTCCTTGAGCTCTTCTCTAGAATTAGCTCCACCACTGGCTTGATGAATGAGCTGTTTCTTTTTAGAAACCATAACAATTTACTTTTAAATTTCCCAAATTAAGTCTCTTTAGGAGTCCACTGGGATCTGGCCATTATTCACCCCTAACTTTGAAAGGTCAGTACCAGTCAAACCTACTCCAGGCCACATCCAGGCTTCCCTGCAAATACCTTCCCTTACCTGTGGGTCACTTTATGTCAATCCTGGTGGCAAGAGTCGCTCTCCCGTGTCAAACTAGCAGAGGGCGTCTTTCTAAGTCCCCTGATTCTTTCCCGTAGCATGTTTCTCCTTTGTCTCCTACTCTTGCTTGTTTGCCCTCACATTTTACTCTCCACCTCTGCATCCCTCGCTGTTCTGAGAGTTTCTTACGGCCCTGGCACTTCGGAGGCATCGCTCAGGCACACCCCATCAAGCACATCATTCAGTGTGGCACATCAAGGAACTGAGCTGCCACCTCGCTGATCCATTGCCTCCCTCCCTAGAGCTAGTTCAAGCCATCCATCACTGAGACGGGCCAGAGGTCTGGCACCCTTGTCAGGTTGGACATGAGGAAGCCTTGTGTTTCTGAAAGGCAGGGTGGATCCTGAGAGTGCTTTTAGGGTCTTTGTTCCAGGTGCCTTGGGAACAGATGACAGGAAAGAATGGGCCATTTTTCAGATGGTCCTACAGGGGCAGAACACTGAGGATTAGTCATGTGAACTGCACCGTCTCTTTAATTTAGGGATTTAGTTTCACCATGGGCTGGAGCCATAGCACAGCGGTTAGGGCGTTTGCCTTGCACGTGGCTGATAAGGTTTGATTCCTCCACCCCTCTCGGAGAACCCGGCAAGCTACTGAGAATATCCTGTCCACACGGTAAAGCCTGGCAAGCTTCCTGTGATGTATTCAATATGCTAAAAACAGCAACATGTCTCACAATGGAGACGTTACTGGTGCCCGCTTGAGCAAATCTATGAACAATGGGAGGACAGTGACAGTGACAGTTTCACCATAAAAAAATAGATTTTCTAGGGCCGGAGTGATAATACAGTGGGTAGGGCATGAGCCTTGCACAGAGCTGACCCAAGTTCAATTCTCAGAATCCCATGTGGTCCCCCAAGCACACCAGGCAGAGAGCCAGGAGTTGCTCCTGAGTACTGGTGGGTGTGGCCCAAACAAACAAACAAAAACCCATAGATTTCCATCAAAACAATGCTGAATCTCCAGTACAAGCCATTCAGTGGATTTAATACCAATCTCTCCTTAGTGACAGACTAAAGTAGAATCTAGCTCATCTTTAGAACAGGATGAATATGAGTAGAACTCTCAGCTTTGAAACTGATAAGTATATGTGACTATGGGGAAGTCAATTAATCCCCCTGGGCCACATTTTCTGCCCCAAATGGCCTAGAGTGACGGGGATTCCATGAGATCTTATACAACCTCAGTCTGTACACGGGAGCCAGATGGACAGCCCCCATGCATTTTACAAATACCTTCAGGAGAGCCATTATTCACCAAAGCACCTCAGCATACTGGGCTATATATGCTATCTCATTTAATCTTCATAAACATTCAAGCTAAGGAAATATTCTTTTCTTCATAAAGATGAAGTTCACATTCTAGACTATCTAAGTGCATCAATCCCCAAATATGGATCCAGGTTTTGTCCCAGACCTCACTGGGAGGACAGGGGGATAACAATGGGGTGGAGAGTTGCACCATGTCCTCCCGCAGAGTTCTAAAGTCATTTTCCCTTCTTGATTGAGGCACCCAGAAGTTCTCTCTCTTCCTCCATTTTTAAGAATTATTCATTAAAGTAATGCTTAAAAAGAAGAAACAATAAAGCCACTACTGCTTGCAACATAAGTAGCATCTGCTAGTTTCTGTGATTCATGAGGTTTTTCTCATTAAAGACTGAAAGAAATGATCCCATGAAGGTAGCAATTACATTTCGTGAATGGGAAATTTATGCTTAATAAAAATTAACAACTTGTCCAAGGTCAAGAAAGAGTAAATAAGGGACAAGATTTAAGAACCCATTGCTATCATAAAGGGTAAGGAGTTTTACTATTCATTTCTAACTTTTCTCTCTGTCTCGCTTTCTCTTTCTCTGTCTGTCTGTTGGTCTCTTTCTCTCTCACTCTTATTCCCTCTAACTTGGGGGACCTTCCAAACAGTGCTCAGGGGCTCAGGGGCCATTCCCTAAGATCTCTGCCAGCTGAGCTGAATGGTTTATGCACAGGCCTAGCCATGAGATGCTACTCAGGCCAATGATACTGGGGACCACCAGGGCATCTCTGGCAGTGCTCAGGGAAACATTCAGTGCCAAAGATGAAATTAAGGTCAGACACATAATGCATTCCTGACCACTGAATTATCTCCCCTGCCTTTCTAACTCTGTGTGTGTGTGTGTGTGTGTGTGAGAGAGAGAGAGAGAGAGAGAGAGAGAGAGAGATTTGGGGCATACCCTGTGTGCTCAGAAATGACCCCTGGCAGTGCTCTGGGGCTAGACCAGGAATTGAAACCAGGGTTCACTTCATGTAAGGCAAGTGCCTTACTTCTTATTCTATCTCTCTGACCCACTAACTGCCTTTTTGTTTTCTTTTGGAGTCTCACCCAGTGATGCTTAGGGATTATTTTTGACTCAGAAATCACTCCTGGCAGCTCATAGGGGACCATAGGGGATGGCAGGGATTGAACCCAAGTGGTCTGCATGCAAGGCGAGCGTCTGACTCTCTGTACTATCTCTCCAGCCCCCCTAACTGCCATTTTTAAAAGCCGATAATTCCATTCTATCTAATGCAAACGCCTGAATCTTGTTCTAATTGAATCTCAATTAACAAAAATCTATTTATGAAACCTTTTAACTAGAACCCTACTGTGGAAAAAGAAAATGGTTGTAAATAATTCCTCTGCATGACTCCCATACTCTCAAAGACGTTAGTTCACATTCTTGATTAGGAACATTTCTCTTCCAGGTAGAGATCTATTCACAATTATAAAGGAAAGAAAAAAATGTTATATGGTTTCAGTCTCCCATATAAAGGGAAATCAGATGGTACCAAATACACCTACCTTATAACCATTTGCTTGTTGGGGTCATAGAGAGACATGAAGAGCTCAGCATCTTCCCCAATTCTGCATACAAAGTTCCTCACAAAGACATAGAGACTGTGGGTGGGAGATGAAGAGATGCGGGAATACATTCCATAGTCTGGCTGGTCCTTTGACTAAGAAAAAAAGGAAAAAGATGGAGGAAATTGGTCCCATATCACGCAGGACGACAAAAGTATAGTCAAAGATATTAAAAATTTTAGCTTTCTATCCAATTCACCAACAACGGTTTTGTAGTCTGAAAAGAACCTGAGAATCACTCTGACTATTTTGGATATGATTTTTCCATCTTGAGAAACATCGTCACTAATCCAGCCTTTTACTTTTTTCATAAAATTAAAGTTACAAAGAAACACAGATTATAAAGGAAAAAAATTGCCTAAGTGGACATTAGCAGAACTAAAAACTTTTGGTTTTCTGAGAAACATATTCAGGAAATGAAAAGGCCAGGTTTAGACTGATAAAAATGTATTTGCAAAACATGCATTTGATAAAGTATTTATAATCATAATACATAAAGCTATCTCACAACTCAATGAAAATAAAATTAATCTAACTAAAATGGGCAAAATATTTGAAGAGGTACTTCAGAAAAGAAGATACAAATAGTCCTGACTGAAGAGCATAAGCAGAGATTTTCTCTAGTCATTCAACAAAATGGAAATTTAAACCACAATGAGATACCACGGCTCACTACCAGAATAACTTCATTTTAAAGGCTGACAATACCAAGTATTGGCAAAAGGTGTAGGCTAGAATGTTTCACAAATAAAATTCTACCAAAAATAGTTTTGTAAACCCTTGTGCCTAACATAAAATCTAAATTAAAAATGAGGACTTGGAGCCGTAGTACAGTGAGTAGGGTGCTTGTTTTGCACACAGAGAACCAGATTTTGATCCCCAGCATCTAAGTCTGTCAGAAGTGATCTCTGAGCACAGAGTCAGGAGTTAGCCATGAGCACCACCAGATGTGGCCCAAAATTAAAAAAGGATAAAAATTAAGTACATTTACATATTGCATATGGGAATGCACTATTGCATCGGCAGTTTAGTATACAGTATGGCAGTACCTCAAAAAATTGAATATACACACACTATGTGACCCAGAAATCCTACAGTTATGTGCTATTACAAAAGAACAAAAACATATGCCCATAAAAGATGTGCGTGCTGGGACTGAGGAGACAGCACAATGGGCTAAGTACATGCTTAACATTCAACAGGCCTCGGTTCAATTCCCAGCACTGCCTGGTCCCCTGAGCATACCTCAGAGCAACTACAGAGGACTGATTTTCAAGTAATCTCCAAGTAGCATTGAATGTGGCACCAAAACAAATTTATGTGCATGTTCAAATCAGTATTACTGATAACAAATCCAAAGTGAAAACAACCAAATGCCCAACAACATCTCAATGGTACCGCTGAAAACTGGTCAGTGGCATACTGGCTCAGCAATACAAAGTTAAAAGAACATTTATACAAGAACTGGGGGGCTAGCTTAATAGGTTTGCACATACAAGCGGGGGGGCCCAGGTTCAGCCTTTGACATAACAGTCCCTGAGAACTGCCAGGAAGGACTCTTGAGCGCTGAGCAAGTTTAGCCTTCGACCACCACTGGGTGTGGCCCCCCAAAATATCAAAACATTAATATATTCAACATAAAAACCTCAGTACATCTTGCTGAGAAAAGTCAAACAGAAAAACTAATGCCATAGTAATTGTTTTTATAAGAAACTTTAGATTGTCTTATTGTCCCCTTTGAAGAAAAAAAAGTTATTAATCAATTAATTGCACCTGAGGGTACTATGGTTCCCCAGAGGAATGGTGTCACCCACTTTGGAAAACACTGCAAGAGACTTCTCTTTTATTTCTGGTTGATTTTGTTGTGTTTGGGGGACAAATCCTTCTATGTTCAGAGCTTCGACCTGGCCCTGTACTCAGGAAGCACTTCTGGAAGGGCTTAAGGGACCATATGTGACTCCAGGTCGGCCATGTACAAGGCAAGTATTCTACCCCCTACACTGTCTCTCTGGCCTACAAGAAACTTCCAGAGTGATGGAAATGACTTACATCTTTACTGTGGTGGGGTTTACTGAATAATACATATTAATACGACTCATGAAAGTGTATCTTTAATTTTGGGGGGGTCACACCCAGCCGTACACAGGGATTTTTTTTTTATTTTTAAAAAATTTTTATTAGTGACAAACCAAGAGGTACAGTTGTATACTTACAAATTTTGTGCTTGGGTTTCAATTGTACAATGATCAAACGCCCATCCCTCCACCAGTGCCCATTTTCCACCACTACAGATCCCAGTATCCCTCCCACCCCCCATCCCCCACATCCCACCCTGCCACTGTGGCAGGGCATTCTCTTTTGTTCTCTCTCTCCTTTTGGGTGCTGCGTACACAGGGTTTTATGCCTCACTGTGCACTCAGGGATCATTCCTGGAGGTGCTCAGGAACCAACTAGGATGCTGAGAGTCGAAAACGGGTCGGCGGGTACAAAGCAAGCAACTTACCCACTAAAGGGACCAGAGGATAAATTTTAAAAGGAAGTAAATTTTACTATGTGAATATTCCACCTCAATAAAGCTGAAAATAAAGTTGTTTTTAAATAAGTTAGGTAGCTAAAGTAATTTTTAAAATATAAGTTAGATGTCAACTCTTCCTCTATCTAAACCCTTGGATTCACTGGCTTCCTACCACACTTGGAATAATCAGCCTAACCGTTCTCCAAGACTCTTCATCTCCTGAGGCCATCCTCTCAAAGCACCTTGCCCACTGCTCACCACGCTCCTTCACTCTGACCTGTCTATTGTTGAATACTCAAGACTTAGTCCCATCCCAGAAACTTTGCATGTGCTCTTCCCTTGGCCTCGAACATCCTGTCCCCAGACCTCAGGAGACCTGATGCCTTCACATCATTCAAGAGTCATCTCTGATGTCACTCTGAGGGAGACCTTCCCTGCCGGCATCTTGAAAAGTGGCTCCTACTTCACTCCAACTCACACAACCCTAGTTTATTGCCTTCTAGAAATATAGCACTGCCTGGAATTAATTTGTCCCTTTATTTATTTACTTTTGAAGCTGCCTTTTCTTTTCTCTCTGGAATATAGGTAACCTTCCCTGGTATTAAACTACCTTTCATTTCTGGGCTGGATGCTGAATAAATTACAGATCCAAGCACAAAATAATGCAATAAAATACGTTTGGCTACTGATCACCTCAGTCAAAGGACAGATGTCCCTGGAATAATATACAGTCTGGCTAATTGTCCTATTATCTCAAGTTTATGATGTGTTAAATGCCTGCCTTCCTGGCCAAAGCCTATTTCACAAAGCTCACCATTTCTTCCTTGATACGCTCTGTGATTTTTTCATTCGCTTCCTCATGTGCATGGAACAAGCTGATGACACTAGTATTATCAGGGTCCAAGATATTTCCCTCTTCGTCTCTGACAATCATATCAAGCTCAAGGATTCTGAAAAGCAAAAGAGTGGTGTTGGAATTATGTGCATGAGAAACCATTATTAATAGTATCATAGACCACAGAATCTCAATCAATAAAATTCTTTTAGGGGCCAGAACTAAAATAGCACAGCAGGGAGAGCATTTGTCTTCCACGCAGCCGACCTGGGTTCAATCCCCGGCATCCCATGTACCACCAGGAGTGATTCCTGAGCACAGAGCCAGGAGTGACCCCTGAGCATTGCTGGGTGTGGCCCCAAAACTTAAAAAATGTATTTTTAAATAAAATAAAAAGCAAAATAAACAATAGGCATAAGTCAAGGAAACTCAGAGTCACATTGTTCAAAGTCAGTCTCATTGGGAGGGACTATGGAAATCTTCATGCATTTTTCTTTTTAAATAAAGTACCATGATTTAAAAAGTTATCTGTCATTGAGTTTTAAACATACAATCTTGCAGCACAGATCCCAACACCAGTGTCATTTTCCTCCACTAACATTCCCAGGTTCCCTCTCATAAACCCCCAAGTCCCACCGCACCCCCAGCCTCAAGCCTCCCACTTGACAGATGCCTTTCAAAGTTCAGTTGTTGAAGTTTGGGCCTCTTGATTCAGTGTTGTTGACTCTGTGGTTTGGGTATTTGGCTCTACCCCTCCTTAACACCACCTTTGTACCTGAATCCGCCAACCTGCTGCTTCTCATATGTCTGCATGCATTTTTTAAAATACTTATTTCCTATAATACTGAATCTGGAGATATACCACACACTTCAGTTAGAGCTTGTCACTGTACACATGAGCAAAGTGTTGGGAAAAAAAATCTAACGTGAAGTGGGGGCCAGGGAGATGGGCCTATAATTTGAAGCACGTACTTTGCATGTCGAATCCCTGGATTTGCTCCCTCGTAACACGTGGTCCCCAGAACACCACTGGGAGAGACCCCCAGCACCACGCCAAATAGAGTAGCTCCCACCAACCTCCCAGTACACCCAAAAGAAAATCACAAAAAAGGAGGTGAACAAACTATGACATAATGGAATTCCATATTGCAGGATTTTTTAATATGGTATTATTTTGATCTGTTCAATGATAGAGTGAAAAAAATCTAGTATATCAAAATATACACAGAATTTTTCATGTGAAAAAAAACACACTCAGCTATGTTGTCAGTGTGTATGCCCTATGAGCGATAGTGAAAAGATCAAATCTGAACAAGAACACCAAAATACCAACCTAGGTACCGATTAGAAGGAGGGCTAAGGGTGGTTAGCCCCGAGACCAGGAGATGTAAAGGGGTCATAGGAGACGAGTGCCTGATCGCCATGTTTAACGTTTGTAATGCAGTGTGATTTATGTAATACAATGTAACACATAACTGCAGAGAAGGCATTCTTGTATCATTTATTCGGTAATAATTGGAAAATAGTTGTGTGGAGAAAAACAGATGACATATATTGATTGCTCTTCACAGTCTGCTCTTGAGTTCTTCATCTTCCAGGCCTCACTTTTTCCTGTTTAATACTGACCTTTCACAACGGTGCTTTTATACAGCAGACACACACATAGCACATACAATAAGCTCACATGCAGAAATGTGTATATCCATGTGGTTAACCCTTAGAACAACCTTTTGAGAAAAGTAGTACTAATACCTATTTTTCAGATGGAAAAAAATACAGAGGCTATGAGAGTGAATTTGCTGAAGGTCACACAGCTAGTAAAAACTAACACAACTCCTATAGTTATCACTATTAACTCTATAATATGCTTATTTGTTTGTTTGGGGGTCACACCCAGAGATGCTCAGCGGGTAACTCCTGGCTCTGAATTCAGGGACCACTCTTGGCAGTTCTCAGGGGACCATATGGGACACTGGGGATTGAGCCCAAGTAGGCCATGAGCAAGACAAGTGTCCTCCCCACTGTACTATGTGATATGCTTTTTTAATTCATTTTGGGAGCCAAACCCAACGATGCTCAGAGGGTCACTCCTGGCTTTGTGCTCAGAGATCACCCCTGGCCATGCTCAGAGGACCATAAGAGATACTGGGAATTGAGCCCAAGTCGGCTGAGTCCAAGAGAAGTGCCCTCCCCACTGTACTATACATGTTTTTAAACAGGCATTTAGTAGCAGTATCAGGTTAAGGACAGAGAGTCAGTTTTCAGAAGCCTTCGCTGACATGCGGGAGCCCTGTTTCCCACAGAAAGAAGACAGAAGAGGAAGAGCTGATAGATTCGGAGAAGGCACCATTACCATATTCCAGATTCGGGAAGGCAGCAAGAATAAACAGAGGAGACCATGGCTTCACCTCTTATTCGAGAATCAGACTGAGAAGCACATCTCTCATCTCATCCAAATGCAAACAGAAGGGAGCTAAGGTTCACCTGTTTGTCCACATTCATTAGGAAATTAACTTCCAACTGGATATGACTCATAAAGTTGCCCAGCCAGGCTGCTGAGCAGGAGACGCTACATGGACAAATGCACCCGACTAATGCTGAGCACACGGTCTCATGACCAAGGAACGAATGGAGCATAGCCAATACATAATTTAATGCCAACATCACTCCAGCTCTTTCTCTTCAAAATTCATCAAAGAGGATTCGTTTGTATGAATAAAACATCCTCTAAGGTTTCGCTGTCTTGGGATTTGGAGGAGTCATCTGAGGATTCCTTACACTCTGGTTATCAAAGAGCTTGTGCGTTACCAGCCTCGCTTGGAACTTTGGGACCTTTAGTGGTCACCGTCCAGAGGTCTGACGTCTGAGCGCCTGGCTTCCATCCGTAACAAAGCTCTGAGTCCCCAGGATACCAGGCCGGTATTAATTTAAAGTGCCTAAGTTGCCTTTCCAGCTAAAGTCTTCAGGGACGAGAGAAAAGAAGCCAGGGGCCACCCTAGCTCTGAACCTCCATCTCTCACTTCCCCCCAAAGAAACAGTGAAACTGAAAAACTGGAAGCAGTCAGTGTGTGTGTGGGGGGGGGGGGGGCGGAGGAGGTGGCACCTCCTGACTTATGCAGGGCCCTCCTCTCCATTTCCTCTCTGCATCAAGCCCATCCACCCCCTCAACCATCACGACGATGGAGTGTCTATTCCCGGCACTTTACTGTCTTCAGAGGGAAGGTAGCCAATAAGGAGGCTATAACCAACGGGTGCTGTGGGCCTGCACGAGCACAGAACGCAGCTGTGAGGTTTTCTCCGAGCAGGGACCATTCCTTCTCTCTGGGATCTTCCTTCCCTGGATCCCCCATGAGGAAATACGTAAAGACCACAAATGTGGAGCAGGAAAACCCAAACCCCTCAATCCCCACACCCCGGTGGGTCAGTGCTCAGCCAAAGACAACCACAGCAAAGGCGGCAGCTGCAGGGCAGGACACACCTGTCTGGTGGGCCTGAGAAGCAGATTCGGACATGCTTGCCAGCTGCCAGCAGGGAAGCCAGGGATGGAAAGCAGATAAAGTTGGGCCGACTGACTTTTCACTATGGGTCGTCTTCCTTGAATATATGACAAGAACAAGAAAATCTGATGGCTGAAAATTTTCTTTTTTACTCCACTTCCTTCTTAGCCCTTACCCACTCTGCAGTTTTTGAACATGCCATCTTTTTCATAAACATTAACCCTTCCTCTTTCCAGCCTGCTTAGCCCCTCCTTACCTTTCTAGTCTTAGTCACCTCTCCCAAGAAGTCCTCCGTGAGTGCCTGCTGCTTCTCACATTTAAAAGTATTCTTCCTTCCTAACTCAACAAAGCATTGTAGCTTACTCCTAACTGGAGTAAGGACCCTTTCTGAACAGGAGTACTTTTTATATAGCCTCAATACCTCGTAGGAAAGCAGGCCCAGCCTAAGTATTCATTACATGCTTCTTGTTGGGATGAATAAACAAACGCAGAGGGTAGGGTATCTGGAAGGCATTCAATAATCTGGAAGGCATTCAAGAATCAAGGAAAACCTCTCCCGGTAGCCGGATGAAGGTTAATTTAAAGTGTCTGGGTGTAGATTATTCTGGTTCTTCCATTTATGAACTAGTCACTTGGAGTGCCTCTATAAAAATTGCCAAACTTCTTTCAGGGCTTCCGTTTCTTTAACTGAATTATTTGTTAAACTGATTAACAAACTGAATAAGTGAGGGCAATAAAACCAAATGCTCCCAAAGACTTGTCCTAAGAATTGAAATAAAACAATGCATGTAAAACACTAAGCACTAATTCTCACACATAAGAAGCTTGAATAGTTCGATACCATCACCGCTATTTATAAGTGGATTTTCCTGAATCAAAAAAAAATCAGTTTCAGGGGCAGAGAGACGGTACAGCAGGTAAGGAACTTGCCTTGCACACAGCCAAGTTGGGTGTTTGATCTCAGACACCCAACATGGTCCCCTGAGCCACCAGGAGTAATCCCTGAATGCAGAGCCAGGAATAAATCTGAAGCACCACCAGGAGTGGTGCAAAAACAAAACAGGACCATTAGATGCCCATTCTGCTTATCTTCATAGCATCAAACTTCAACTAATTTTTGCTTCCTCCCCTTTGGAGAAATGCTTTTGTAGCAGGTTCGGACGAATTAACTGATGGCATGTGGCTTGGATAATTTAGGATGAGGGAAGGGACTTTCAGCCTCACACTGGGATTTAGTGAACAACTTTGTAAAGGCAGGAATAAAACGGCAACTAAGGCGAAAGTGAACCAGCATGACTGTGCTCCCCAGCTCCTTGCAAGTAGGTTAAATGAGTGTCCTAAATCTCTCGGCCTGGTAATAACCACTGCATCAGCAAGCCTCCTCTTGGCTCGCATGTCTCTGCATCCCACAGGGGTGATTGCAAAGGCATACAAGCATGGTGACTGGAAGCAGCCTTTTCCAGAGAGAAAGAGGCAAACTCATATGTAGAAATGAAGCCAAGCTTCTGGGAGCGTGAGAGGGAAGAAGGGAGAAAGGGGAAGATGGCTCTTCCCAGAGCAAAGAGAAGTCACCTGTTGCCATAGTCGATTTTGGATGTGACTTTCTGCTTCAGTTCCTTCAGTTCATCCTTGGGCAATGTTCCTGAGAGGAGCTGGGACCGCCACTCCATCAGGTCATACATCATGGACTGCACCTGCAGGAATCGCTCCTTTTTGCTGGCCTAGGAGAGAGGAAACAATCTACAACTGATGGGCATCAATTTGGTGAAAAGTCGGACAAAAAGGCTCAAGAGCTAAGATGTTTGAGCATCTCTCCTGCCCCTACTCTACTAGAAGCAGTTAGGTGGTGGTCAAAGACACTGACATATTCCCTCCCCCTGGGCCAACAGGGTTTCCCACAGTGAAAGTCATTATCTCACAATGACTTTTTGATTAAAAATAAAGAGTGACATCTAACGCTTACCTGAAAAGACACTTGCTGAGCAGGAATAGCACAAACATCTCCATGTAAGTTCCAGAGGTCAAGCTCAGGCCCTTTGAGGCTGAGAACCACGCTCGAGGGACCATACGGGGTGCCAGGGATCAAGCCTGGGTCAACTGCATGCAAAGCAAGTGCCCAGCCCTCAAAGTTACATTTTTTATGGAAAAAAAAGTGGCCACCAGCTCAGAGCTTTTGGTAGATACGATAATTTAATAACACTGTCTTGTTTTTCTTATATTTATCTGAATAAGTTCTAATTGTGCCAAATAGTTTTTTACTTTTCCCTTGGGAAGCATAATATGATATAAATTTTTAAAAATCCATATATTTGGAATTGTCCTCAAGTTCTTGGCACAGAGATCCTAAAAATCTTGAAATTTTCCTGAAAATTAAAAGTGCCTTTGCCTATACCTAAGAACTCTTTTACTACACCTAAGTACAATAAGCTAATTAGGTGTCTCTTGGTTAGTCCCCTGAATCCCTGAACTAACTACCAAAGGAACCAATCAGAGGCCAAGGCTCATATCTTGTATGAGGAAGAACTAAGGCTCAATCCCTAGCATCATTTATGGTACTCCAAGCACAGAGTGCCAGGAGTAAGCCCCAAATACAGACAAGAATGGCCCCCAAAAAAATAAAAATGAAGGGATCAATTAGGTAGTTAGAGGATTGGAAATTAGTCTTACTCCCCTCACATTCCCCAACCCCAACAAGGGGAGAGAAATGAGCAAGAGACCGGGTCTGTCCAGCAATGACCTGTGATTTGATCCATTGTGCCTATATAAGCACCTCTCACATGAGGTTTCCCAGATGGCATATTGATTGCTAGGAGGTGGTGCACCAACAGAAGGCATAGAATTTCTATGCCTCGATTCCTCTGCATCTCTCCGCTATTTGGTTATTCTGGAATTGTGTGCTGAAATTATAGAACCTGAAAGGCAGGTGGTAAGGAATGGTGGGAACCTCTGAATTTGTATTATGTTTGGACAGAAGTACTAGCAGCCTGGGGATCTGAGACTTGCTCCTGGCATCTGGAGTGAGGATTTTATAGGAATCCATCCATAACCTATGGATTCTGACCCAACTGTCTGAGTAGTCGGAGTTAGAAGTAAGTCAGTATTGTATGAGATCCAGTTAGCATTGGAGAACTGTAGAACTAGTAACATACCATGCTATAAAGTTCCTTTTGTAACTTTTAAAATTTATTACAGAGGAAGCAAATTTAGGTATTAGACAAATATTTCACACGTTCAATAGAGATATGGTAAGAATCATGAAATTCATACTAGAATTTAAGTATCTCTCTACTAGGAGAGAAAAGTCCTAAAAGGAAAATTTCTAAAATACCAAACTTACATGGCACATGTGATACGGTGTAAGAGGGGCAATGAAGAAGAAATATCAATTTTAATCTCAATTCTTCTACTGAGCCCCCGAACATTCCTAACATACCTTTGGGTAAATCTAGAGAACTCAATGTTCTAATCCTAAATATTATGAACGTCTACTGGGAATTGTCGTTTCTGGCATTAAAGGTAAGCCTACAAGAACAGGCATATACCAGCAGGTGTGCCCAGTGCTGTAACAAGCATGCAATAAGCTTTGGCTGACATTTTCAATCTCCATGTAATGGTTTTCTTAGCTAATTGCTTTAATTAGACTCTTTAGAAGCATCAGAGGGGGATTTAAAAATTAGACTTGCCTCAATGCAGAAAAATACACACAAAGGGCACTCTTTGTTTTTCCAGGGTCAAAGCTTCTTCAAAGAATTGAGGACAAAGCCATTAGTTAATTAATATGTAAGAACAGTATCTCTCAAAGTGTTTAAGTCGACCACCCAATAAGAATCCTCTGAGTCAAACAAAAATGATGATTAGTAGGCAAACTCCACAGAAGGGAGCTTTACTTTTTAGTATCTCTCAAGGTGATTCTTGAGCATACTCATGTTTGACAGACTTTCGCACTGGTTCAAAATCAGAAGGGCCACTCGGTCTCTGTTTAGGACCGCTCCATCATGAGCTCACTGTGTGACTTTTAGAAAGTCACCAAACTTCTCTGGAACCCGATGCCCTCAAACACAACACTGTTTGTTCTACTGGAGTCAACTTCACCACCCCGGCCAAGGATAAATCGCAAATTTGAAGGTCAAGGTGCTTCCAGTCCAGGCGGTAGGGTTGTGAGTCTTACCACATAGAGTTGCTTCCAGATGCTGCCCCATTCCCAAAGTGTTGTTGTCACTTCTTGAGCCAGGGGAATTTCTGCAGGGATGATGTTCTCAATATTTCTATTTTAGGTGGGAGAGAAAATGGTGTGAAATTGAGACCCAGGTGCTAATTTGATAAAATTCTGGCAAGTTTGCATTCTACCAAAGCTACAGAGAGGGACTCTGCTGGCCTGAGACTGAACTACTTCCAATAGCCACACCAATTACATTATGCAAATACAGAGGGCTTCCCTGCTTCCTGGAGTGGGACCTGCATGCTCATTATCTGAAATAAATTCACTTTAATAGAGCCTAAGGTAGCTGCCAGCAAAAAGTTTGATTCTCCAAACTTACTAATATCCCCTCAGAATCAGATATGAACGCAAATCAATTTGGATTAGATTTCCCATGCAGTGAAGGAAAGGAATTACACAAATAAGCACAGGCTGGTGAAGATGGATCGGCTAAGCACGTTTCACATCTGCCAGCTCATATTTTCAAAGCAAACAGGACAGAGGCATCTGTGAGCCACTGGAGAGTCAAGTCTGGTGACGAACAGCAAATACCTTCTTTTCTCAACTATCACTTCTTTGATGTGGATGAAGGATTTAGGGAAAATGCCCTGTGGGAAACAGAACAAAAGTGAATAAGCAGAAGGAAAAGACTACAAAAAATAAAATAATAAAATAAAATGACATCCCTGTAGAAATAACTGACCCCAGGGTTCATGGTTTTCCTCAAACCTATTGAGGAGAGATAGTACAGGGGTTAAGGCTCTTGTCTTGCACACAGCCAACTCTGTTTTGATCCCCAGTACCACATATGGTTCCTGGGAGTGATCCCTAAATACAGACCAAGGAATATGTCCTGAACACTGTGAAGTATGACCTTAAAAAACAAAAACAAAAAAAAACAAAACACAAAACCTAAAATCAAAATCCCCTGAGTGGTAAAACCAAACCTTTTTTAGAAAAAGGGATTGCTCCCAAGCAGTTCTCTGGAGGCCTGAGGGCCCCATTGGCACTTTTTTTTTATACGCCAGGAGAAAAATATGGAACGCTTCACGAATTTGAGTGTCATCCTTGCGCAGGGGTCATGCTAATCTTCTCTGTATCATTCCAATTTTAGTATATGTGCTGCGGAAGCGAGCACCCCATTGGCACTTCTAAGTCAACTGGGCTGTGGTTGACTGTGAGGGCCTGAGAATGAGATGCTGCTTGGGTCTGTGGGGCCTGGGATGATGCGGGATAACCTGGAAGTGCTGGGGATCTCCAGAGCTACATCCTGAGATACTAGTGGACCATGTGGCACCAGTGATCAAATCCAGGTCAGATACTTGCTTGGCTTATGCCCTAACCACTGTACTATCCCCTGTACTCCAAACACTGAGCTCCAAAAGAAATATCGCAGTTAGACAGAAACAGAGGCTGCAATCTTATTCCACGTGTTTGGGTTTAGTTCCCATTAGGTTTCTATAAATGTTTGGGGTCCCACTAAAACTCTAGATTTCTTTTCTTATTTTTTTTAATTAAAAAAAATTAAAAAACAGAATCACTGTGAGATGGACCCTTCCAAAGCTGTTGATGGTTTCAGTCATACAGTATTTCAACACTCATCCCTCCACCAGTGTACATTTCCCAGCATCAGTGTCCCTAGTTTCCCTCCCATCACCACCATCCTCCCCCCACCCCCCACCAACCTGCCTCTATGGCAGGTGCTTTTCTTCTCTTTCTCTTCTTTCTTTCTCTTCTTTCTTTCTCTTTCTTTCTTTCTTTCTTTCTTTCTTTCTTTCTTTCTTTCTCTAGATTTCTTTTCATAGGCATTCTCTCATATGGGCAACAAGGAGGCAAGAGAGTGGTTCAAAGTGGCCCCACCAATTCCAGAAAATAAGGCACTTGTGTAGTCATGAAAAGCTGGACAGTCAGGTGCTAAAGCAGCACCACCTACGGATGCACTTGAGTTAGCTGGATGCAAGACCTATTTCTCCCTGGATTTATTTTATTGATCTAGAGAGCAGAATTGGTTCATGCTTCCCAAAACCAGCATATCAGGGAAGAAGAAATGATCTTTTTCTAATTATATTTTACTAACGATGGCCAAGTTAGTAAGAGAAATAGATCAATTATTTGGGAATCCCTTCATGAATTCAACCAACATGTAACTGGGGCACCAAGATCAATCAGGAGACGAGCAGGTGCCTACTGTCATGGAGACTGTTGCATAGTCAAGGGTGGTGAATCCTCAGAGATGGATCCTGACTTTTCTCTTAGGTTGGAGTCGTAGGTGAGGAAACGCTGAATGCCTCCAAATAACCGTAACGGAAGTCAGTAGAAGACCGATTTCAGATTAAAAATGTGCAATACCATCAGGGCTCCAGGAGCAAGAAGAAAAGAATCATATGTAATGGACATGTCAGAAAAAAAGTATCAGAGAGAAGACAACTCAGGAGTTCACCCTTAAAAACTAAGGGAAAGGGGGTGTGCTCTGGGGCAGAGGGAAGACATAGCTGGGGCAGAAAGAGGAAAGCACAGGGCACAGTGAGGAGGAAAAGGATCGGTCTGTTATGCAGGGTCATGTGAAGACACCAAGTATTATGCCAATAAAACAAATCGATCTTACCTGTAACATTTTGTGCTTTATGAGGTATCCCCTATACCAGTCTGTAAAGAGAAAACAAAGAAAGGTCTCTCATCTATTCTTATAAGTCTGTTGGGTTTTTATTGTCAGCCCTTTTCTCTACCCGCCTGAGCACATGTGTTCAGATGCATGTTTTTAACCCGTCTAAGGGATATAAGCAAGGCTTAGAGATTTTGGCAATGATCATAAAATAACAACAATTCAAACAGCACAAAAGGTATCTAAAACGTGATTTGCAAAAGTTTGTCACCACAAAACACACATTTATGGATAGGTAAAATAGATTTTTCTTTCTGCAAGAATATCAAAAATGATTCAATTAACAGAAATCCAAATTGTACACAGTCCTCTGACAAAATGAGCCTCAGCGTAGCAAGTATTGATGACTATAATGAGCCCACTGGCCTTTGAAATGATTCAAGTACAGCCAAGTACTGGCATTTGTCATCTTTGTAAATAAAAAGCGTCTGTCGGGAGCCTCATTAGCAAGCCCTCATTATTGGGCTGACAGATTGTTGTTGAAATTTGTTCTCAACAGACATACGTGCAAGGCCCCAAATAAACAACTTGAAATGCAAAGTCACCCCTTGCAGTCATGAGCTAGCTAGTGGACCAACTCCTAAAGAAAGCTTCAGAGCGCTAAAAGCAAAAGGGCCTAAAGTTAATTCTCTTACAAAAATTATTTTATTTTATTTGAAGTTGGGGCTGGGAGGGTCATACCCAGGTTGGGGAACATGTGCAGTGGGAACTGGTCCTAATAGTTCTCAAGGAACCAGACAGTGCTGGGTATGAAACCTGGATCCCCTGCAAGCACAGAATGCACTCCAGGCCTTTGAGATATCTCCCCGCCTATTTTGAGTGACTTTATTTTTAGAGACAGAGAGAGGAAGAAGAGAAACAAAAAAGGAAGGAGAGGCAGGGAAACAGAACAAAAGGAAAGAAGGTTGGAAAGAAGAAATCTTGGATTTGAAATAAAGTGCCATTCTTATATATGAACTGAGTTTCATATAATGAAGCCTTTTTGGGGAGGAGGAGTTCATCATTTTTATTGCGATATTACAATTTGCAATGTCACTGTCACTGTCCTCCCATTGTTCATCGATTTGCTCGAGTGGGCCCAGTAACGTCTCCATTGTGACAATTGTTATTGTGTTTGTCATATCGAATACGTCACGGAGAGCTTGCCAGGCTCTGCCGTGCGGGCGAGATACTCTCAGTAGCTTGCCGGGCTCTCCGAGAGGGGCAGAGGAATCAAACTTGGTTCGGCCATGTTGGCGGCTTACAAGGCAAACACCCTACCTGCTGTGCTATTGCTCCACTATTAATTATACTTTTCATGCATACATTATTCCAATACCATGTCCATAACCAAAGTGACCACTTCCCTCAACCGGCGTCCCAAGGACCTCTTGAAACCACCCCCACCCCTACCTCAGGCAAGCTCAGTTATAGGCAAAATCTCCAGTTCTGATACCTTTGGTCATTTTCTGTTCCCTTAATAAAGCCTTTTAAGCAACCAGGTCACACAGCTAGTGAGTGGCAGCATCAGGATTTTAACATAACCTTGAAAGTTTACCAATTCTCAGAAGTTTGGCTCAGTCCTGAGCAATGAAGTAATATACATTCACCAACTTAGAAAGAGTTCCAGATATTTTCAAGAGAAGAGAAAGTCCCACAATGGTATGCACAATATAGTCTCATTTTTGGAAAACAACAGGGGTCTTATGTTACAAGGCAAAAGCCAGGCTGGAAAGATAGTATAGAGGGTAAGGCGCTTTCCTTGCATATGGCCCACCCGGGTTCAATCCCCAGTACTGTATACAGTCCCCTGAGCACCACCATGAGTGATCCCTGGGTACAGACCAGGAGTAAACATTAGCATTGCCAGGTGCAGCCCCAAAACACACACACACACACACACACACACACACACATGCACACACACACAGAGCGAGCGAGAGAAAGAGAAGAGAGAGAGAGAGCAAAGCAAAAATCTCTGTAACAAACTCTTCTCCAATCCTTTCCTTTTGTTTTATTTGACCAGTAAGTAAAAATTCAAAAGTTCTTGGAAACTTCTGTCTCTAAAAGTTCTTAGAAACCACTGTCTCTAAATCCCATTTTCTTCCCCGCTAAGAATGGGTATCTTGGTCTGGAAAGCATGTGTCAGGAATGGAACTTTTCCTGTTGTTTCAAAAAGGGAGACTCGGGTGCGAATAGTTGAGGACAAGCAGATATTCTCTCTGGATTGCTTAAAAAGAAGAGTTTACATTTATGTAATATAAAATAACATAACATGAGACTGACATCCAAGGAGAGTAGACACAAGGGCCAGGAAGAGTGCACTATAGTTGGAAGCCTGTCTAATGAGCTGGGGGAGAAAGCTGCTGGAATACAGAAAGGATCACTAAGACAATGATAGTTGGAGGAATCGTTTGGGATGGGAGATGTGTGTTGAAATAGATAAAGGAACAAGCATGATAACCTCTCAGTATCTGTATTGAAAACCATAATGCTTAAAAGGAAAGAGAGAGAGAGTATGAGGAAAATTGACTTTCATGGAGGCAGGACCAGGACCAGCCACCACCATGCTGAGACCACTCTCCGCACATATGAAGGTACTGGCAGAGGGACAAAGCCACGCAGGTTCCGGGGCCGAGATCTCCAAGCCTACTTGGTTTGAGGCCGAGCATCCTCCACCCAGATCCTCCAAATTCCAGTAGGCGGGGGTCACACCCACCAAATGGCCCCCTGGCGCCGTGTAATCCCATCAACGGCCAAGACTCAGAGACTATAAAAACTAGCTCCCAAAACCGCGCGGCCGCGAATGCGACATCTTATTATGACATCTTATTATCTCATTCCTACTTTGGACAAACTGGCAGGCTACCGAATGTAGCCTGCCCACATGGCAGAGTCTGGCAAACTCCCTGTGGCATACCCAATATGCCAAATACCAGTAACAATGATGGGTCTCATTCTCCTAAAGAGCCTTGAATATAATTTCAGGGCTAGGATGAAAGAGAAGTTACTGGGGCCTGCTCGAGGCAATTGACGAATAACAGGATGATTTGTGATTTGTGGAGGCAGGAGGAGGGTTGGAAATTGGGGGGAGGGGTATACTGGGACATTGGTGGTGGAGAATGTACACTGGTGGAGGGATGAGTGTTTGATCATTGTATGATTGATACTCAAACATGAAAGCTTGTAACTATCTCACGGTGATTCAATAAAAATAAATAAATAAAAAGAAGAGTTAAACCACTCTAATTGGGCTTTCTCCCCAAAGAAATCCCCCACCACAGTCTATGTGATCAGGAGAGAGAAGAGAGAGAAAGAGCAGGAAAAGGAGGGGCAGAGAGATTAGGAAGGGACAGAAATCTTTGGAGGAAGAAATTTGCTTTAGGAAGGTATTATATAGCCTCTCTGCTTCAATATCAAATCAAAGTTTGAGAGGCAGGAGTATGGTTCAGAAAATCTGCTCAGAAATATTATGGTCACCTGGAATCTCATACCCAAGCTGCATGGTTTTTCATGCAGGAGACGAACTCAACTTTGATTTTATTTGATCAGGGACGACAGAGAATTGGAAAGAGTACCCCAAGCCCTCTCCTGCCTCTGACCTTGTCTGAAACGTGGAAAGGGAAGAACGAAAGGTGCATTAAAATGGATGTGGGATTGAAGTCTTTTTTTTTTTGCAATGTCTTTAAATATCAGAAAAGATGTCAAACAAGCAAAAATAAAGAACATGACTGGAAAAATGGCATTGCTTTTTCAGTTTTATCCCCTTCCATGAAGAATTCCCATGCTCAATAAACATTTACATGTATTATCACATGGAAAATCAGGATAAAAAATGTTTATACTGCCTCTAGGCAGAATAAGCTATCCAAGTAATATGATACAAAGAAGGAAATAAGCATTAAGATGTCTCAGGTCTAGCAACAGGTACCCCTTCTGAATTCTTGGTGTTTTTAATCACAACAATACTTTACTGGGGCTGGGATAAAGGACAATGGTTAAGGTACATATTTAGTATGAACCCAACCCAGGTTTAATCCCAGATATAGCAAATCCCTGCAGCATGTCCAAGTGCAGCCCTGGAGGTCTTGGGCACCATCACGGTGGCCCAAGTAATCCTCAGCACCACATTCTCAGGCCTTTGATGTAACAGGCCCAGCCTAGTTGTCCAGTAGTCACAACTGATGCCCTGGCTTTCTTGCAAATTGCGTGGGAAACCTCCTCCACCATGCATCCCACACCAGTTATCCCTAACCAAAGTCACGAGCAAGCCTAAAGCACTGCCTGGTGTGCCACAAAACAAAACAAAACAATTTTCATCAAAGTAAATAAAAATGTTTGAGCTCTCAGGTAAAAAAAAAAAAAAACTGCTTCGTGTCTAAAGTTCCAGGTCAGATTTCTGGTTTTCCCATTCATAGGAATGAATTTAGTATGTAGACAAGGAAGTGTTGCCTCACCAAGTCCAGACAATTAGAAAAGTGACTTCCAGGTTCCTTGGGCAGCAAAATGCAAAAGACAAATGGATGCCAGTCTGAATAGACCTCTGTAACAAAGGGTGGAGGTAGCGGGAAATATGGAATGCAGTCAAATATGGCATTAGACAGTTTCTCTGTTTTCTCATTCATCCTCAGAACAAGTCCGGGCATAACAAATTCAGAGCAGTAGTACGACCCATTTCACAGATAACAAAACCAAAACCTATCTACACAAGATCATTCAAGTTATGAATAGCGGAACAGGAATTAATTTTCTGATTCAAAATACCAGAATCTCCCCACTTTTTTCACCTTTATTTAGGGGAAAGGAAATTTATTGAAAAATACAAAGAATAAAATAGTTCTACTACTACTACCCAGAATTAATAATTTTTACAGTATTGGAATATATACTTTGAATCTTCATAACCATAGGTCCAAACTGTTATGTCCTATGTATGTATGTATGTATGTATGTATGTATGTATATATATACTCTATACTAAGCATAACAGTGTGTGTATATATAATACATATATATAATGATAATTATCCTGAATACCATTACCCAGAAAAAGGAAAACATTATCAGTTTTTCTTCTTTCTTTTTTTTTTTGTCACACCCAGAGATGTTCAGGGCTTACTTCTAGCTCTGTGCTCAGGGATCACTCCTGGTGGACTTGGGAATCATATGGGGTTCTGGGGATCAAAACTGGGTCATCTGCAAGGAAAGCAACCTGTCTGCTATACCCAACCTTTCTTATCAACTTTTTTATCTTTACATAAATAGATAAAATACAATTTTAAATGTTCTCATAAAAATTATAATGTAGATCCTATGTATCTAAAAATCTCAGGTTTAGCCTTGCCCATATTTAGAAGAAGAAACAGAAATCAAGTAAAACTGAAGAAGATGTTACTTTTCAATTAAATATTTTTCTTCACAAGAAAGAAACTCCTCTAAAGTAGCTATGAAAGCATTAAAATATTGCCAGTTATGGTTTTTTGATTACATGTTTTACTTTCAGTTAATATGGACCGAACTTCTGTTTTGAGAATGACATAACCTATTCTCTCCTATTCCTCTCCCACTTCTCAGACCTATTAGACTTTATTTTCCACATTGTCCAGTTTCTTAGCAATTGGGGGGACACAAACACCAGAGATTTTTTTTTAAAATAGTGCTGGATATCAAATCCAGAGTATCACACATGCAAGTTAAGTGCTTTACTACTGAGCTACATTCCCAGCCCTAAGACATTAAGACGGTTAAGACTAATTTTAATACATCCATCCATTTGTATTCTATTTTTCCTTTTATCACAGCTTGTAATTGATTCAAAAGTAATTTAATTGAGAGTCCTTTTGTACTCTATAGTCACAATTTTTCCTTTTATCACAGCCTTTTAGTTGATTCAAAATTAATTTAATTTAAAATTGATTCATCTCTCAATTGGTTTGATTTTGTTTTTCAACTAATTTCTCGAAAGAGGATATAAGGAACAAATCTAAGTTCTTTTAATCATATCACTTTGACTGATTCCTTTTTTGCTAATACTTTGATTTTCACAATATATTTCAGCGTAATCATTTTTTTCCATTAAAATACTGGGCATATATCCTATCGGCAAAGCAAACACACTAGTAGGCTAATCTCAGAACTGTTAGCCATCAAAGGTCTTCTGGGCAACTTTAGGATTCCCTGGTTTTTCAGTGAGAAAAATATAAAGGTATATGCATTATAAATCATAAAAATCTGCATACCTGGGGCTGGAGTGATAGTGTAACGGGTAAGGCATTTGTCTTGCATGTGGCAGACCCAGGTTCGAATCCCAGAATCTCATATGAGCACCGCCAGGAGTAATTCCTGAGTGCAAAGCCAGGAATAACACCTGAGCATCGCCGGGTGTGACCCAAAAAGCAAAAAAAAAAAAAAATCTGCATACCTATGTGCTAGCTATCTAGAATAATTCTAAGAGACTTTTGAGCATTGTATTTTCAATGTATTCATAATTTGGTAACCAGTTATCAAATTAATATATCCAGTTCTTTCCAGAAAGGTATGGTATCTATTTATTTCAAGTACACATTAAAAATAAGACCAATAAAAGATTTAAAAGCTGAAAACCAGGAACCAAGAGGTTAGTAGCAAGAATATAGATTATCCCAAATTAATACAGTGGGTATGAGTCAGCCAGCAGTGCCTCTATGAAGACTGGGCGGCAGGCAAGAAAAAACCACTGTAAGCATCTGCCTATAAGCAACCTGTGTGTCAGTTTACTGCTCTCAAGCTCTCTCCAAGGAAACTGAATGAAGAGAAGAGGAAACTTATTTTAATTTCAAAATACAGGACACTAAAAATATTTACTGAGGCATTTCCAACTGTCCTGACCAGCAACGGGTAAAGAAAAGAATAGAGGTCTATGCCGAGGGGATGGAGAGAACAGCCCCCAGCCTACTGTGACCTTGGGGGTCTTAGGTGCCCTCTCTGCACCAGGAAAGGCCTGTTTCTCAGAACTCACAGTCATCAGCATCAAAGAGACACAGTGAAGTGTCTTGCTGTGCTGAATTTTGGTTCTTTCTTTGCCCGTGGCAGACCACCATACACAGAGTAGAAGCAGGTTTGCACCAGACAGACAGGTTTGTAACTGGAGGTGGAAGGCGGGGTGAATAACACAGGGTGTTTGGCATCACATCCCTCCTGGGTCTCTCACTGTCACAAAGTTTGTTAAAAGGCCCAAAAAGGGCCTCTAGCTTGCTGAGGGGAGTGAGAACTATGGCATGGATCAGGCAGGGAGAAAGAGCACTTATGTAGAGCTGGGAGTAAGAGCAAGTTTCTAAAGCCTGAATGTGTCTGCCTTCTTTTACAATGTCATTGACCCTATTTAAGAAGTATATTAGAAAAGTGTCACAGGCCAGTCAGCCCTCTGACAATGGCCAGCAGAGAACACAACGCACATCAAACCACCCTGGTAGGTCTTTCCTACTAAGCATAAATTCTACAACTAATAAAACACTACTTTTGGGTAAATGTTGATTACCAGTATTGGCAAAATATATTTCAACAATCCACACACCATTAGCCATTCTGAAAAAAGGGCCAGAGATGCTGGCATGCACGGCAGTTGTCACAACACTGGGTGTCTGGCATCACCCAAACTGGCGTTTGGCCAAGTGTCACCAGCACCCAAAGGTCCCCAGACCCAGGACTCACCTCCACAGGTCTCCTGTATCCGCACCACATCGCCAATCTGCAGGGAGAGCTGGCAGGCACTGCTGCCCTGGAAGTTGTAGATGGCTGTGGAATGCAAGAGAGGCAGCGGGTGAGCCTTCCACCACTCCTTCCTGCCCTCCCAGCCTCAAGTCTAGCACACCAGTGTGGCTCCCGTGGACTAAACTGATCCGGAAATCCAGCCCTCATCTAAAGGCCTCCACTCACCACCGAGGCCGAAGTCGTTCTAGAACAAGTCTGAGTGAAAGAAATGATTAGATCATCTTCCATGGGTCATGCTTTTACTGAATACCAGATGTCCTACTCACTGCAACCTTATGAGGTCTAAACTGGGATTCTACGCTATAGAGGAAAAGACAGCAGCTCTGAAAGGTTAAGCAATATGACCAAAGTCATCGGGCTAGGAAGTGGGGAAAAAATTAATTTTGATAGTCTGAATAAGGACGATGGCCACTAGCTGTTTCCCATGACTCCATCCTGGTAACCAACAGCCTAACATGTCAACCTCTCCAGTACTCCAGCATTCACAACCTTCACTGTCTAAGGAAGCCATATCTGTCTTCTAACCAGGTCTAATCCACCTTTGTTCCTCTAGATAAAGATGCAATTCTTCAGCCTTTACCAAAATCAATCCTCTGGCCAGAGTTGTTCTTCCTTCATAAATTTCATCCTGTTTTCTTTTTTTTTTTTCTCAATTGAATCACCGTGAGATACAGTACAAAGCTGTTCGTGATTGGGTTTCAGTCATACAATGTTCCAATACCCATCTCTCCACCAGTGTACATTTCCTATCATCAATATCCCCAATTTCCCCTCATATCTCTTCTCTCTCTCTCCCTCTTTCTCTCCCTCCTTCCTTCTCTCCTTTCTTTCTCTCTCTATCTCTCTCTCCCCCCCCCCACGCTCCTCTCTCTCTGTGTTATGGTTTATAATACAGGTACTGAAAGGTTATCATGCTTGTTCCTTTACTTACTCTCAGCTTGCAGTTCTTATCCAGACTGATCATTTCCAACTACCATTGCTGTAGTGGTCTCTTCTCTATCCTAAACTACCCTCTCCCGCCTCTCCTACTCCCCCGCCACTTGGGGCAAGCTTCCAACTGCAGACCAGTCCTCCTGGCCCTTGTTTCTACTGTCCTTGGGTTTTAGTCTCATACGTGTTTTTATATCCCACAAATGAGTGCAATCATTCTATGTCTGTCCCTCTTCTTCTGACTCATTTCACTTAGTGTGTTTTCAAAGATGAAACACCACTGATCAAGCCGCTTTAAGCCAAGATAAACAAATGGGACTACATTGAACCAAGAAGCTTCTGCACTTCAAAAGAAACACTTACCAAGATACAAAGACAGCTCACAGAATTGGGAAAAAATATTTACCCAATACTTATCTGATAAGGGGTTAATATCAAAGATACGTAAGGCATCGGTATAATGTTGAAAAAAAAATACACATCCAATCCCGCCAAAACATGGGAAGAAGAAATGAACAGAAACTTCCTCAAAGAAGAAATACAAATTGCCAAAAGGCCCATGAAAAAGTACTCTACACTGCTGATCATCAGGGATATGTAAATCAAAACAACAATGAGATATCATCTCACACCACAGAAACCGGCACACATCAAAAAAGAACAAGAACAACCAGTGCTGGTGTGGATGTGGGGAGAAAGGGACTCACATTCATTGTTGGTGGGATGCCAATGGGTCCAGTCATTTTGGAAAAAAAATCCAAAAAATGGCATTCCACAAATAACTAGAAATTGAACTCCTAGATGACCCAGAAATACTATGTCTGTGAATATGCCCTGGGGACCCAAAAACACATAGCAGAAAAAAGATATACATTTCTATGTTCATACACCACTATTCATAAAAGTCAGAATCTGGAAACAACCTGAGTGTCAAAGAACAGATGACCGATTAAAAAAAAAACACTATGGTATATCTACACAATGGAATACTACACAGCTACCAGGAAAAATGAAGTCATGAAGTTCCCTCCCTGATTTCTTTAGGTAGCACTACCATTTACCAATTGTTGGTTGGATTCATTTGAATAGCCAATATTCAAAGATTCTGTCTTCCCATCGTCAGTTGCTAGGAAAAGGAATTTGCTATGAATGGGCCCAGAGTCGCCTCTGTGCTACCAAGAGTCGCCACTAAAGTTCAATCTCTTGAATATAAAATCATGCCAGGCCACTGCTGTGCTTAGGCTCTGCTGAGCATGATTTGTTAAGCGAGGACCAAGTCGCATTGTTAACCGCGATTCAGGATGCAACCCATCTCCAAAGGCTATGATAAAATCATCATGTTCATAGGGCTGGAGCCATAGTACAGCAGGTAGGACACTTGCCTTTCAGGTGGCTGACCATGGTTTAATCTCGAGCACCATATATTATCCCCCAAGCCCACCAGGAGTAAGCCCTGACCACAGAGCCAGGAGTAAGCCCTGAGCACCACTAGGTAGGCCCAAAACAACAACAACAACAACAAAACAAAAAAAAATAGACATTTTTAAAAATTATCTTCAGATGACTTCAAGAACAATACAGGATGCAATGAGTATGATTTGGGAAGGAACCCTTGGAGGATGGATAATATAAGGCTAGATGTCTTCATCATCTATAACTCAGCAAATACTAATAAGTAATTGCCCATGATGTGCCAAGAACATACTCTTCTGGTGAACATACAAGCCAATAAAAGAGTGGCAAATACAATATATATGATGGAAGCAGCAAGCGGGGCCTGGCAGAGAATAATACAGGACATCCATTTCCTGTATTATTCTTTCTCAAACAAGTCAAGAAAGTCCTCCAAGAGCAGATATATGAAGATATATGAAGAAATTACATAAGTAAGCTATGGAGGCAGCAGAAGGGCATTTTAGGAGGGAACAGCATATACAAAAGTCCTGAGGAAAAAAATAAACTTGGCATGCTCAGAAAGCATGAAAGAAACTGATGTGTATTGAGTAAGAAGAGGTGGGAAGAATAATACAAAAAGAGACTGGAGAGGCAGGGGCTTTGGGAAGTGTATAATTTATGTCCGCAAATTACTTTTCCTCCTTCTTATAGCCCAGTAGTATTTTACTACCTATACGGTAAATTTTTTTACCCATTTATTTGCCAGTGGACATCTAGGCTGCTATATGTAGGATGTTCATAAGAATGATCCTAGTAACACATGAACCCATATATTTTCCAGGTTTTGTCTTGTTGTAGTTCTTGGATACATACTCAGTAGCAGAGTAGTTGGATCATACGGTAGTCCCATTCTTAATTTTTTGAGAAATCTCCATACTATTTTCCATAGAGACTGAACCAACTGACACCTCCAATAACAGTATAAAAAGGCTCAGTTTGTTTCATATCCTCATCAACACTTTTCCTGTTATCCCAGCAGGTTTGTGGTAAGATAACTCAATGCACTTTTGATTTACATTTTCCTTAAAATCAGTGACAATGAATGTATTTGTATGCATCCTTTCTCCAATATAAGAATGACCTATTTCTTCCTTCCTCCCAGTCCTGGCCTCATTTCAAATCCAATCCCACACAGGGGGAATGACACAAACTGGACATACTCTAGTTGCTGGTGACTTTACTCAGACTCTCCACTCCTTACTCCTTTCTGCCCCACAGACCTGAGGACCTGCCTGCCATAGCTGCAGAGGCAGAAAGGTTTCTAACGGAAAAATACCTTTCATAATACGTTTGCTCTGGGCCACTGGCAAGCAAGACTGTGTTTTGTTCCTTGGCTCTCTCCTTCCTGATTTCTTACTCTTCCTCACTCTCTGCCCAGTTTAATCAGGTAAGAAGCTTGCACAGACTAGCTTTAGATGTCTGGGACAGAATTGGCATTCAATGTGAAAGCCTACATTCATTCCAAGGACTCATATCTTATAAAACGAAAGTAACCATTTAATTTATAAATGTATTTCTGTCTTTGCAAAAAAGCCTCGGTTCTCAAGTCTCCATTTGGGGAAAAGCAGACATTACTGGCAAAGGAAGTGGCTTTGCATACCAATACCCGATTCTGTTCAGTTTTCTAAATGACTAACAGGAAACTTTGAAGCGGAATGCCACTCAGGGCTCAAGTCAGATTGCTTATCTCTGAACCTCATTTGTTTCACATCCTCACCAACATTTGCTTCTGCACAAGAACAGGACATTTTCTTCTCCACTCTCTGCAGGCCTAACCACTCCCAGCTTTTGAGTGAGAGAGAAAATGCAAAAACAAAACAAAACAAAACAAAAACATGAGAAAGATAGAAGATAAAAAATTAGTGGAAAATGCTGGAATCTACACCCTGTTCCATCATGCTCATGCCCACCTACAGTAGATAGACAAGTAGGAGGACTCTACAGATGCCCAATCCAGCTTCCCCTTTCAGATGAAGCCCTCATGATCTGGAGACTACTGACAGAACCCAGGGGAGACTAGACCTCTCCCTGCATCAAAATGCCCAGGAACCATTGCAGCAATTGATTACTGGAAAGCTCACCAAAACGCTCAGACTGAGGACCAAAAGGTATTTCAAGCACCAGTGCCACCTAGGGCCACAGACTCCAATGAAAACTCAAACTGGAAGACCAAGGTAGGGAGATAGTAGGGGCAGATACAGTACACAGGTGGCACTTCCAACAACCCTGGAAATTAAATTCACTAATTAATCACAAACTTCACCTAGACATATCAAAGTGCCTTGGAAATCAGGAGTCCACATATAGAAAAGTAACAAGGCAAAAGTAAATACTACGGTGAGAGCAAACAGCTGAGACAAATGAGGGTGTGGTTTCTATGTTTGGTACAATATTAGCATAATTTGGTATAATATTATATAACAGTAGTATCTTTGGACTTATAAATAAGGAATCTGAGGCATGGGAAGGGTAGACATTTTATCCATCTGTTTAGACAAATAGATGGGGCTAGAGAGATAGCACAGCGGTAGGGCGTTTGCCTTGTGCTCAGCTGGCCTGGAAGAGCCAGGTTTGATTCCTCCGCCCCTCTCGGAGAACCCAGCAAGCTACCGAGAGTACCTCATCCTCAATATGCCAAA